GCCCCCCCCCCCCTTTGTCTTTTGGGAAAAAAATATGAAGTTCTAGGGAGCCCCCTCGGCAACTTCCACCCTCTTCCTGCGGAGTGAAAAATAAATCTTCAAATTACTTCTTGAGGTTTAATTTCGGTCGACATTGTACAATTTCCTTAGAGAAAGAAGATAAATTATCCAAAAGGAAAAACACATTTTTAATCTCTCAAATAATTACCATTCCCCCCTATATCAATTTCTAACATACAGAGCATTGATTTGATAAACATATTGCAATCTTTGCAAAAGTTGAATGCAAAAAAAATATCCTTTTTTAAGTTAAAGATTATCATTTCCGAATTTTATAATAATGGGGGTTCTGAAACTGTAAAATGAGGATATTATTTACAATCATAGGGGACCTAGGGCGCATTTTCTTAAGTCTGTGTAGATGGTGTCTACAATTGTTTCCTTGATAAAATATAGTTTGTTTATTCTAACGAAAGAGTAAATAATGGGCACAGGTGCTGCAGGATATCTGGAAACCGTTGGTTATTGGATATTAATGTATTGTACATTTTATATACAACCATAGATTGTTAAAGATATTTGGACGTTGATGAAGGAGGGAGAGGGATGTTGTGGGGGGGGGGGTCAGGTATTTGTTATGTTTATTAAAGGAATCTTTAACCTTTTTGAAAATATACACAATACACATATTTTTTTCGAAATCCAAATAAGGAACGTAAATATGTCTATCTCAACTCCAAAGATGCTCTAAGAAAATTCTAGTAAATTGGCGTTTTCGATGACAAATATTGAGGATCGCAAACAAACTCTTTTTAAAAGTGTGCCTTGAGTTAGAGTATCTTGACTAAAAGATTTTCATAAAAGAATTTAGTCTTTGCCACAAACTCAAAATTTCTAAACCCTATATTTATACAACTTGCAAGCTGGTATTTGATATTTCAAACTTATGACTAATTGTTCTAATAGAATTCATTGGTTTAAATATCAAAGGTTTACAGCATCGGGTTGGAAAGCTATATGTATTAAAAAATCTGAGTTTGTGGCAAGAACTCAATTCCTTTTATATTATTAAACGCTCTTCTTTGTATATTTAAAATTTTAACAACTTTCAGGAAATAAATCTAATTAAATGTTAAATAGAATTTAGATTGCTACAAATTTTAATTCAGGTCTATAGAATAACAAAATATTATGAAAAACAACGTTTAGCAGTTCTTTACAAGAATGATGAATAAAAACACTCAGATCTGTACTTTTTTGTGAAGACCTTAATTACGCATTTTTTATCTTTTCTTTCGCTTTAAATAAATACATACATCTAATATTCAAGATGTAAATATAAAAAGTATAAAAAGAAATTTGAATATACTCTGTAGCGCTGGATTAAATAAATCCTCTTTATATTCACCTGACTGGGATTAAAGGGACTGTCATTGTAATTTCATGTAACCCTCTACATTAACAGGGGTATGTCCCATTCACAAAGGTACTCTACGAACGTACCCTTATCTGATCCAAATTGTGTCGTTTTTCCAAGTGTATAATAAAAAAATAAAACCCATTGATTCTGTAAGCAGAATTGTAAGTCATTTTTGATTACAAATTATTTATTTCAAAATGAGAAACATTCTTGATCAGACAAAGCTTTTAAGGGTACCGTTGTGAATTGAACATGGAGGATAACTTGAAAATACTTTTACAGCTTCTTAAAACGAGTAGTACTCCTTTCACAATATTTTCAAAGGAATAAAATGGAGTTTTCTAAAGAATAAAAAATAATTCTATTTAGTTCTATCTGTTCTATCACTAATAAAAGGAGAAAAGAAAAGAGTAAAATAACATTTCTTCCGAAACTTCAACTTAATTCTGCATTTATATTGTCTCAAATATCTAAAAAATGACGTTTAGAAAAAGTTTTTTTCTTCTTTACAACAGTTATTTAAAATATAAACTAAAGGACATCTCATATTTTTAAAACACTTTATAGGGGTTGTTAAGTGGAATTTTATTGATATTTTTTGCGGATTTTTAGATTATTTAGATATTATTTAGAAATTGTAAATCATTGCAGTAGTGTATTGCAGTGTGACATACATGCATTGCAGCTAAGGATTAAACCACTTGAAATCAGGTAGCTGCAGGGTTGAAATAAAACATTTTGTATTACTTTTTTTCTTCTCTAGAACTATCATGGAAAATTTTCCTGTAATATATGACAACTGTTTCTTATGGAAAATATATCATGACAATTTTTATTATGGCAAACGTACTATGACAATTAAACTGAGTCGTATCTTGGAATACTTTTAGATTTTTTCTAAACCAAACTTTTCACAATAAAATGAAGTTAGTTCTCAAGAAGAAGAATAAATGTTAGCTATTTCAAGAATTAAAAAGGTTGTTATAAAAGGATTCCAGAAAAACTTATTTTATCATAAGATACTTTTTTTTAAATTTCACCAACTTAAAAAAGCAACGAAAAATTCTACAAAATATCACGTGACTATAACAAAAATAAACTTAAAACAGCAGGATGACAAAAAAGAAATTCATTTCCCCATTATACATTTACGGTTTCCAGTAGCTAATAAACGAGTTCATTTCCCCATTATACATTTACGGTTTCCAGTAGCTAATAAACTAATTTCCCCATTATACATTTACGGTTTCCAGTAGCTAATAAACTAGTTCATTTCCCCATTATACATTTACGGTTTCCAGTAGCTAATAAACTAGTTTCTTTCATTGATAAATAGATAAACTTACTTTTAGGATACAAATGTAGAATATGCCCTTTTTAACCTTCAGATTATATTTCAAGAGTTACAGGTCGTCAATGAAGTATCATCCTTTGTGGTTAACCCTTTGACCTTATTATGTCTTTTTAAAATCATAAACAGACAATAATCCTCCAGATCGGGATGATCCTTGTACTTCAAAAGTTTCGGTCTCTCGGTTAAATCGTTTTGAGAGGATTAAGGGAAATATCGAGGTAATTTCAAGTAACCCTCCATTAGACCGATTCACAAAACGTTGTAAAACTTTTATCCGAGTACCAATAAGAGAATACCAATAAGAGAATACCAATAAGAGAATACCAATAAGAGAATACCAATAAGAGAATACCAATAAGAGAATTCATTTTGTAGTTTTCCATCTTGAAATATTAACAATTTTGCCAACTTTCATCCTTGTCTGTGTATAAAAATTTACTCATAAAAAAAAACTGTGATTTAAATTGTATATCAACAATTTTGAATAGAAAACAAAAATACGGTTCTGATAAAGATTAAATGTGTACGTAGACACTCTTTAAATAAGTACCTAGACATCGTGTCAAAAAGACGACAGTTCCTTTCATGAAAAAATTAAAGCTAAAGCGAGAAATTTCCATTTCATTAAATTGGTTTCGGAAAATTACGACATAGCAACTTTTTAAGCTTTTAAATTAATTAACTACCTGTAATTGTAAAAGTCAGCGGAAAGATAAATACATAATTTCAATATTTTTCTCCAAGGTTCTTTTTCACTTTTCTCCAGGCTCAGTTCTTATCAGATTTCACACACACGGAGATTCTATATCTTGTATTGAAACTCAGTCTCAGTGCGGAGATAACGGAGAACTGACTCCAGCTCCGTCCCTACCCCGGAGTAAGGACGGGTTTGCGATAGATCTGGAACCTAGATAAAGAAGGATGCTTTTATTGATTAAAGAACCATTAGTTTCATACGGAGGGATTAGAGGGATAGGGGGGGGGGATAGGTTGGCAGAAAGAATAGTTTTCATTTGAAGATAAAAATTGATTTTAAATAGTAAATTAGGGTGGGTGGTGGGTAGGGGCCCCCGGCCCTCTACGGAAGGGGAGGGGGGTCTCAGGGACCCAGCTTTTAGGGGTATGGGGTAGTGTGTGGTTGGACACTGAACATGTATCTATATATATACTTTGCTTGTCTGTTTGTTTGTGTCTAATAAACGTAAAAACGGCTGAACCGATCGGGCCCAAATTTTGTATGGGACTTCACATGTCCCCAGGAAAGTTTTCTGAATGATCAAAAATTTGCCTCTAACAAAATTTGATTTCTATCAGATTTTAAAAATCCACGACATTTTTCTTTAAAATCCGCCAAATTTTTTTGCTTTTGTTTTACAAAGTATACAAAGAGAAAATGTTCACTATAAAAAAAGAGATGGGCGCGAAGTTAATCTTAGATCCGATATTATTTATTTAAAAACATTAACTGTGCAAACTATGCCTTTTTTTTGTGAGTATACAGAAGATATCTCCATGATATGCCATATTGATGAATATTCTGTCAAAAAAAAACCTTAATTTTTATGACGATAAAATGTATATTAGATTAAGATAAGATTCTATATCAATATTTTATAGTTTTATATAAAAACTACGCATGGGAGTAACATGGAAGAAAATTCATTACATGGCCAGATTTAAAATCATAAGTAAATACGAACCATGATCAAATAATCAATTTTCTGATCAGTTTAAATTCATAAAAATGTGTGTAATGTATTAAGAGAGAAAAAATAATAAACATATGTTATGAGTCCCAATTAATCTTTTATTTCATACACAATTAATTTGTGTAAAATATATTACCGATCAATACAATATCTCATTTCATTTAATTTATTTAATAACTTAAATGTTTTATCTATAATAATAAACAATCATTTTCTTCTGAAAAACTAGCGAATTTAGCCTTTGTAGCGTTTTTTGTAGTATGGCGTTTTTATAGGGTATCATTTTCATATGGCAGCGTTTTTATAGATACACCCTAATTAGTTGTAAAGATGCACACTGCACAGTGCACACATTACAGAGTTTCTTTTAAACCTTATTAAGATATAAAATTAAAAACATTTACAAAAGATTGAATTAAAAAATATCGTGCCAAGAAAATGATAAAAGAACAAATTATTCCAATTTTGAAAGCCTTTACAAATGGTTTTAATCAGGATAGTTTCATTGAGATAATTTTGTTGTCAAGTTTTGTCAAAAGAGACGAAAGTTGAAAAACCTTCGATGTTCAATATTCATTATTTAAACTAGGTCTACAGAAAATAACAGGCATTTAAGCATTTAAAAGAAAAAAGGAAGAAAAAGAAAAAAGGAAGAAAAAGAAAAAAAGGAAGAAAACGAAAAAAGGAAGAAAAAGAAAAAAAGGAGAAGAAAAGATAAAAAGAAAGGAAGGGAAGAAAAACTATATTAGAAGAAACATAATAATATCACTGTATTAACTCTGAGTCTGGAGAAGAAAAGAGGAAAAAGGGAGGAAAGGGAAGAAAAACTATATTAGAAGAAATATAATAATACCACTGTATTAACTCTATGAGTCTGGAGAAGAAAAGAGGAAAAAGGGAGGAAAGGGAAGAAAAACTATATTAGAAGAAACATAATAATATCACTGTATTAACTCTATGAATCTAAGGAAGAAAATTCAAAAGATATTTCTTTCCCTTTCTAAATGGTGATATTATTACTTTAAGTTTCCTCAGTTGCTTAAAAGGGAAAAGAAAAAAAACAATTCCCCCAATTGCCTGTTGGGAAGAAAAATCAAATGTTTTAGAAAAGTTTCATATATTTATAGGTAAGTGGGAAAATATGTGGCAAAAATTACTAAATGACTGTAAATTAAAGATAGCAATCAAGGTAAGTGATGCAAAATGACTTAAATTATGGTAAAATAAGTGATTTAGTGAAAAAAAAATAGCTAGTTTGCGATAAAAGCCAGAAATTTTTCAGGTGGGGGGGGGGGGTTGGAACAATTCAACTTCTATTAAGAATATACTCCCCTGCAACCGAACTTTGATTTTGATCAAGAGAGAGATTTTTTAATTTATATTTAATTTTGAAGCAATTTCATCTAGAAGTTATAATCTTTTTAATAATAGTATCAGGTATCTTTATTGTTTTTGCTCTTTATTCCATGGTACAAGGTTAAAATTACTTCATCATCCTTTGATCAAAAGATTAGCGTTTAATAGTTTTTACAATACATTGCACATACTTTATTAGCAAAGACTAAGAAGTATTGAATATCGTATTTTCATATTTTTTGCAATTGATTAGGCCTACCTCACAAATCATTAAGCCCCAATAAACTGAAGATATTTTGTTGCTTTTATCAAAGATTCAAACTTTAAAAAAAGAAAAGTATTTTGTGAAAATTGGTATAGAAGTATGGGAGTGCAAAACAGCACAAGGTAGAGAGGAGTACAGGAGAACTCAAGGCAGAAAGGAATACAAGAGAAGTCGAGATAGAGAGGAGTACAGGAGAACTAAGGTAGAGAGGAGTACAGGAAAACTCAAGGTAGAGAGGAGTACAGGAGAACTCAAGGTAGAGAGGCGTACAGGAGAACTCAAGGTAGAGAGGAGTACAGGAGAACTCAAGGTAGAGAGGAGTACTTGAGAACTCAAGGTAGAGAGGAGTACAGGAGAACTCAAGGTAGAAAGGAGTACAGGAGAACTCAAGGTAGAAAGGAGTACAGCTGAGAACTTAAGGTAGAAAACTCAGGAACATAATTGCATGTACATTGCACCGGATCATATGTAACATGATACAGTCCTAATTAGGCGGAATTCTACATATATAGGGTTTTATAGTTATGTTAAGAAAAGTTCTGGGCCGACAGGCTAGGGCCGAACGCCGCGTCTAGGACAGGCGGGGGCCGGGCGCTGCGGCAAGTCAATGTCATACGTTGACCAAGGTATACATTTTTACCATTTAATATTTTTTATGAAGGGGGGGGGGTCCAAAAGAGAAGCTAGGAAATTGCCTAGATTAGCTGGAGTCAACTAGATTTCAAAGCTTAATAATTTCCTACCTTCGAGATGCAGTGAGACTACTGTAATGCAAAAAATAGTGCAAGGAACGGAACTGACTTAAGCCATATCTTTGCAATTATAATTCTATACTCATTTTACGTTCTCGGATATCTTCCATTTTTTCCATTTTTTATGATCTCTTGTACTCCTTGTGAAGGGTTAAGACTAACTAATGATAATTTTCATTTCAAACTCAAAAAGTTACTAACAGACAGTATTTATATATTTATTATTTATAATTATAGATAAATATATGTACAGAGAAATCCTGTTGTGTACTCTTGTATTTATTTCTGCTACGCATACGCAAAGTGATCACAGTCCCAGTTCCGAGTACGGCATATTGTACGCAAATAATTGAACGTGAAAGGGTTCATGCGAATTTTTATGCATAGAATTGTGTAAAGTTATTCTCATAATTTTGATTGAAAAAGTTACTGATAAAATAAAGTAAGCGACACAATAATAATTATCTTATATTCTTTAAATTGTTTAATTTTTTTGGCTTCTTTCAAGTCAATCAATCAAGCAACAAAATAAAAAAATTGGACGCGGCAGCAGCGCTTGAAAAAGAGACAAAATTGCGTCAACCATAAATTTAACTTTAAAACAGCGTATAGAAATAAACGTTTATCAATCAATCTTAAAACAGGAAAATTTTAAATTACAAACATTTGAGATTCTTTAATAGAAAGAATGGGCGACGACTCCAGGTTTTACCAAGGTGTCTTTCTGCTAACCTTGACTTTCATGGCAGGGGCTACATGTGGTTATCAGGTATTGGTTGAATGTTATTTTAGGTTCACATAATTTGCTTTTTGGACCCTCCCCCCCATGCTCACAGTTTATTACATTCATCATTTATGTAGCACATGGAAAAAGTTTTGTCAATTTCCTAGAGAACGACTTTCTATCAATTTTGTACATGCATCGGTAATTTCCTAGTATACGATTTTTGGACCCCCCCAGCCCCCCCCCCCCTCCTATCAATTTTGTACATGGGTCTGACAGGAAGTGTCTTAACTTAACCTAACCCGTGGCCGCAGCGCTCGGCCCCTAGCCCATCCTAGCCGCAGCGCTCGGCCCAGAAAGTGTGGCCGCAGCGCTCGGCCCCCTAGCCCATCCTAGCCGCAGCGCTCGGCCCAGAAATTGTCTTAACCTAACCTAACCGTGGCCGCAGCGCTCGGCCCCCTAGCCCATCCTAGCCGCAGCGCTCGGCCCCCTAGCCCATCCTAGCCGCAGCGCTCGGCCCAGAAATTATCTTAACCTAACCTAACCCTAAATAACAAAAAATAAATAATAATAAATTTGCTGGAAAATAAATGGTCATGTACTAAATTGATAGGAGGGGGGGGGGCTGGGGGGGGTCCAAAAATTGTATACTAGGACAGACCCCATGCATCTCATATTTAACACAAGGATTAGGTTGGTCATGTGGCCGCAGCGCCCGGCCCCCTATCCTTTCCTAGCCTGTCCTAGCCACAAGGCCAGACCCAAAATTTTTATTTTTTTGTGTGTCCGGTCCCTTAGTCTGTCCAAGCCGCAATGCTCTGTACCTTAGCTATATCTTAGCTGCAGGCAATAAACATTATCAATTACACGTTGAAAATAGTTCAAATCGAGGTTATGTACAAGGTTGATATGACCAAAATTAGTTCAAATCAAGGTCATGTACAAAGTTGATGGGGGTTGAAGGGGGGGGGGGGGTCCAAAATGCCTTCTTTAGGTTAGTTTTTAGGATCAAAGGAACTGTATATAAAGTAGACGTTCACTTCACGTTTCTTTCTTTTATTAGAGCATATATCGTAGATAATCGTCGATGGGTTGAATCAGACTTGGTACTTAAGCCTGTCCTAAATCAATACGTTATCAATTATTATTGATCATAGACCAGTGCAATCCAGTGAAGATATCGTATTTAAACTTTTATAATTACAGGAAAATTAAGGAGGGTGGGGGGGGGGAATTATGCACAGAAATGGTAAGAAGTATTGAAGTGAAATTAGAATATCTTCTTAGAATATAAAATATACTTCAAAGGATGCAGATAATTTTAAAACGATTTTTTTAGTTTAAAACTTGGAGAATGGAATATTTAAAACGTAGAAGGGAGCGCCTGGCTGTTAAACTACAAGAAACACAGGTATTCAACATTCAAGAATAGATTTCCAAGAACATTGATATTTTTATGTGTTGGGGGAGAAATATTCATTGGGACGTTATCTTGCAAAATTAACAAAATTATCCTTTGCTTACTTAAAGTTCATAAGCAGTTGGTTCTTCTTTTATTAAAAGATTATAGGTTAGTATGTACAACCACACAATGATTTCTGGAGATACCCTAGGTTAGTATGTACAACCACACAATGATTTCTGGAGATACCCTAGGTTAGTCCTGATACTTCAGTGAAAAAGTGCAATTTTAGGTTATCATCATAATGTTTATTGTAATGTATACCCTCTAGATTTAGATAATTTTGTATCAACGATTTATTTTTGTATAGAGAGAAATAGAACTGATGAAAGGACATTAATGAAACAGAAATGGACTGGAGACCGTAGACTGTTTCTGTTCAATCTTAAAGAGCAGTTCAGCTAGAAATATACTTTCTGATATTTTGTTCCGTAGAACCTTGTAGGAGGAATAAGAAACAGTTAAAAAATGCGAAAGTTTCTCAAGGTTATTTTATATATGTGTGTAGAGATTCATAATAGAATTCCTTCGATGCTAAGCTGTTAAGTTTTTTATGAGCTTAACGGAATCAATATAAATTTTTACATATATATAATTTCCTTAATAATTAAGAATTTCACTTTTTGTTTGAAAACAACTCAAAAAGTAATTCCTTCCTACTCATACTGATTTGTTCCTTGTAGAAAATTTTAGACTTCATAAATTTTAGAGAGAATGGCGGAAAAGGAAATTAAAACGTTCCTCAAAGATGCTCGGGAATACATAAAGGTTAAAGAGTACAAGAATGCACTAAGAGAGATAAAGAAGGTTCTGAACAAGGATAAAAATAATTACATGGGGCTTGTTTTCTGTGGACTCTGCTTGTCTGAGCTCGATCAACCTGCCCAAGCACTTCAGGTATCAATAATTATGCTTATGTTTTGATTATTCTCATGACTCCAGGTGGAGTATTTAAAAATCTTATTTTAATGGTTCAGGCGTACAAGCGAGCAATTGACAGTGCACCGGAGCAAGCAACAGCCTGGGAAGGTTTGGCTAAGTTCTATGAGAAAAATTCGGGAAACGCCGAGTATAGACAAGATAGGATACAGACTTTACACAGACTTCTTACATTCGCTCAGGTTAGGTTTTTAATAAAGTTACCAGCTAGGGCCGGGTGCATATAAATAATATGGGGACAGGATGAAATTTGTGAGTTGTGGTTTCTTTTTTGTTTTCGATTTGAAATTGCACATTTAACGAAAAGAACAAAATTAAAATGTTCACCGTTTTCCCATTTTTTATTATTATGTACACATTGCATCATCACTCGATCAGGGTCATTCCATGAAGAAGGAATACACCAAGGGTGTAATGCAAGGAAAGTTAATTGCGGTCGTGTTTACTCTGCGTACACATTGAAACCAGTTCTTTTTGGGCGGAATTTGTAAACAAGAATAGATGCATCAGTGTTCGTTTAGTATCCGAGGAGGATAAAAGCATTTAATTTTGATAATTCACATATCAGTTTCCTATGACCAGAATATTTCATTGATTTTTTTTATGTGAAAGATGGATCCCATGTCAGGCTTTGACATCCGTCTTGTGTTTACATTACCTCCCAGAAACAGTACACTGCAGTACAAAAGATGTGTACACTTCTGAAATAACTTTCCTTTCATTACATCCTAGGAATATACCATTTGACAAAAAAAAAAAATAGATTCTTCTCAAACTTAAAATTCTAGTTATTTAGGTCATAAACAGCCACAAAAAATTTTTTGGAAATTTTTTTGGGTTGGTCTTGGCCATTTTAAAAATGTAGGTCGATTTATAGTGTACTAGAAAAGTCTTAATTTTGTGCATTCAGATAAATATTCTTTCTTGTTAAATGGGTTCAGACAATACATATATTTTTTTCTTCTAATTATATGAGATTTTGGGGTCCATCGTGATTTTTGGGTGGGGTCAAAACTTTGCGGAAATTTTTAAAATTTTCTTTTGAAAATCTGTAGCAAATTCGTTGCAAATTTGATGAGATTTCAAAATTAATCAAAGTTTTTGACTCAGGTCAAAAACTATAAGTCGACCTACATTTTTTAAATGGCTAAAACAACCCCAAAAATGGTTGTTCATGACCTAAATAACTAGAATTTTAAGCTTGTGAATAATCTATTTTATTTTTTCTAATGGTTTATTCCTTCAAGTCATGGAATGACCCGTCAGCATCTTAGAATCTTGTACACGATCGACGATCGATCGAGCTAATTTTAAGAAATAAAAAGGCAATTATTCTCAGAAAAAATATGATAATTTTAAACCAACTTTTAAATTTAACAATAAGATATAATAATACATGTACCAGGACGACGTATCGAAGCACTATGATATCTGCAGTAAGGTTGCCCAGCTCCAGATGGACGGGTTAGATCTAGACGGAGCAGTGAAAACTCTCCAGGTTCAGGCTAAACACGCAGAACAGGACACAGAGAAATATAGATCCTCCTTGGAGATGATTGTCAAGTAAATCATTTTTATCTAAGAAAATTCAAACCTAGGTCTGAGGTCGGAACTTCTGATTTTTTATTGTAATCTACAGTGTAATCTACAGTGTAATCTACAGTGTAATCTACAGTGTAATCTACAGTGTAATCTACAGTGTAATCTACAATGTAATCTACAGTGTAATCTACAGTGCATGAAATGAATATCCATAAAGAAAATTTTTTAACTTTTGTTTTGTCCTTGAAAAACAGCTGACTCGTTGCGATAAATCGATATGGTTTCTGGTTGGTCAGACCTTGATGTATAACCATAATGAATTGATCAATGCTTTCTGACGGATTAAAAATGCAAAAGTTCTTATCTCTGATCTTACTTCTATATTCTATCATGTGTTGTAGAAATTCACAAGTCACCAGCATTAATATTTTGTTTTTAGAAAATGGGTTTAAAGGTACTGTGTAATTCTGTTATGGCCCACGTTAAACGAAAAGTCTTAAATTAAAATGATAATTAATCCCTTTTAAGATTTTAGAATTTAAGATTATACTTTTAGGCTCTTATGTCCGCAGCCGGAGCTTAACAAGTCTTTGAGCCAAGTGTACGAGGAGACCCTGGACTCTCTCATCTCCGACAAGGAGACAATACAGAACCTGGAGAACCTCAAGCTTCTGATCAAGCAACTGTATAAGGTCCGTAGTCTGGAGAAGCTTGTGATGACCGCACTGAAGATGGTTGAAATATACCCTGAGAATAGTTATCCATTGGAGTGGATTTGTAAAGTGTATTTGGAGTGGGCAGCAGATACCCTAGGTTAGTATGTACAACCACACAATGATTTCTGGAGATACCCTAGGTTAGTATGTACAACCACACAATGATTTCTGGAGATACCCTAGGTTAGTATGTACAACCACACAATGATTTCTGGAGATACCCCTAGGTTAGTATGTACAACCACACAATGATTTCTGGAGATACCCCAGGTTAGTATGTACAACCACACAATGATTTCTGGAGATACCCTAGGTTAGTATGTACAACCACACAATGATTTCTGGAGATACCCCAGGTTAGTATGTACAACCACACAATGATTTCTGGGGAAAGGGAGATTTTTTCCTGATACTTCAGTGTTGGATTTATTTATTAGTCCATTTGTCTATTTCTGCAGTACAAATTCTTTCAGATTTCGATTGTGAAGAGTTGAATGATCCGAGTGTGTACTATAAGAAACTACTGGAGCTAAATCCAACCTCAACTCTTGGAAACCTGGCCCGGGGAGCACATCTAGTCAAGATGGGAAATATGGCGGAGGGAATACCAATATTGTCCGCCGGAACGGATGTTAGCGCACCGAATGTTTACGGGTTATATATGCTGACTAAGGCGGAGGTTGAGGCGAAGAACTTCTCCGCCGTTGAATTATCTGTGTCATCTACCGTCAAACATTTAGACAAGGTGATTTTTAACTAGAAAATATAATGATGTTTCCAAATTTTTTTCTTCTTCATTTCTTCAAATTATTTATTTTCCCTGTTTTATAATTGTAGTTACTGATCTCTTAGTTTTCAAGTTGAATTCTCTGCGTTAAGAGCATGATTAAGTTTTTGACAGGAAAAATTTTTAAGTTAAGTTATTACTTCTCTATTATCTCTAAAAAATACAATCTTTGGAATTGATCCTAAGCCGGTTATTATATCTTTGTGGATTTAAATCTTTACTCCGGGTAGGTTAAAGAACAGAAAACTCGTGAGAAGATGTCACGTGACCTGAACCTAATGTTTATCAAGTCTCTTTATTATCAAGGCTCCAAGGAGAAACTAGAAAACTCTCTGCAAACTATTAAAGGTCTAAGATTTATTTTTTAATAATTCTTTTTTATTTCAATTGTAAAATATTTTTTACTTTTGTTGCATTCGATATTATTCAGGTTTAGAAAATTCCGGCAAGATTGATCCTGAGTTTGGTTTAATAATTGCAAAGATCTACGCAACCCTAGGATTGGAAAATGAAGTATCCAGGGTACAGTCAATCCTAGAGCTCTCCGTCCTAGACTCTAAACTGATACAAGCATTAGTTTACTACTCTAGATCTGAACTAGGTAAGTTTTTTATGTCTGATTTCCAAATTAAAGATTTCTTATTTCGGACCACTATTTACTCTTTAATTTTGTATGAATTATTCAATATATAATGTATATTTAGAACAATTTTTATAGATTAATTTTTCTTTATTAATTCAATATTTGAAAAAGCTTATCTCCACTATTATTTGTAAATATTGTTAAGTTTTGAAAATTTTATAACGACGAAAATTTCAAGAATCTGGAGAGAAGCTGTTGTCTGAAATCCTGCTTTTTTCTCCGGATAGCTACGAGATCTTGATCTTACTGGGACGGATCTGTTGGGAATTAAAGAAATCTTCTCAGAGTCTAGTATACTTCCTCAAAGCAGCAAAGGTAAACAAATCATGGCGAAGTAAAACAAATTAGAATTTTATTTTTATTTTATTATTGCTTTTTAGAAAGAAAAAATATTTTTCTTGTAAACCTATTACAAGTTAATGCTTAGTAAAAAGATTAAGTCAAATCAAGATTTGGACCGTTTTTGGTTTTTTAAGGGTCAAGTTCTATAGTGTGTTTGTGTTTACTTTCAAGTAAATCCTATCCGGGGTAACTGAAGAGTAAAGCATTTCTTAATTTAGTATCTTTTATTTATCAAGGTTGAACCTGGGAGCTGGGTTCCATTTCTCTATCTAGGACACTACTACAGATCTCTGGGTTCGGATCAGGGTCTGGAGAAAGCTAGAAAATGTTACCAGGTAGGTTTTTTTTTCCCCAGGTTTGTTACTAGGTAGGTCAATTTTATATTGTATGAAATCTGAATTTATTAAAATTTTTCTCTATCTGTATTATGAAATTTATGCAAAGGATGGGGGACTACAAGGTACCCTCATCTTGTGGCGGTCTGGGGGGTCTATTTTGATAGGGTTCGTAGATTTCATCTACTTGTGCTCCATGTAATGTACTAGAGTAGGAAATAATTTTTTAAAGGTACCTGATAACCTCTTTATACCTATATCTGTTTACTGTTCACACCTATATTTGAGTCATCATTGTTTATTTAGAAATGTGTTGAACTGAATCCCCAAGAAGTAAGTGCAGGGCAGGCACTGAGTGATATATACAGGCAAACAGGGAACCTAGAGGTAAATATCGAATTGAATCCCCAAGAAGTAAGTGCAGGGCAGGCACTCAGTGATATATATTATACAGGCAGACAGAAAACCTAGAGTAAAAAAAAATAGAAAGTGGAACAGAAAGATTGATTGATAAAGCAGTAGAAATATTAGACGAGAACTTTGTTAGAAAAAGCAAGAAAGTACACTGGTAATATGTACTTTAAAGTTCAAAGTACACTGGTAATATGTACTTTAAAGTTTAAAGTACGCACTTAATTTCGCAACTTTAGTACACGTTGTAGTGACAGTGCATAGATGTTTAATTTACTAAATGAACAAAGTTGTGGAGGTGCACAAACGTAATATTCATTATTTAAACGCCATGTTCAGGATAACCTAAATTTTCTGACTGGGGTCACAGGCCGAAGCACTGCAGCTTCTGGGAAGTGTACATGGGCGTGGCTAAGACTAGGCGTACACTATCTAGCAGCAGATGAACCCAGTCTTGCTGTACAAGCTCTTCAATCTGCTCTGAGAGGTTTAATATATTTTTATGTATTTTTAGATTATCATTTTTTCAATGTGTGATCTTTATAAGGCATGCATGATTTTATTAAAAGATTATTTTTATTTATTTTTTATACAATATTATTTTTTTTGTATTTTTCAGGGGATAGTGGCGACCTTAATTGCTGGGAAGCGCTTGCTGATGCCTACCTGGCGCGCGGAAGCTTCACTGCTGCGCATAAAGCTTATGAAAAGGTTCTACAGATGAACCCTGGGTCCGAATATACAAGGTTAACAAGAAAAAAATTATAATAATAATTCTAATAACAGAGGTATATATTGTCAAGAAATATTTTGGATTCTTATGGGGGAAAATGAAAAAATGGATCCATTTTTTATCCTTTTAAATTATTTTCTCAAGTCAACGAATAAAACCCTACATATCGTGCTACGCTCAAACTTACTTAACATCTGGGGAAGTAAACATGGATATAAAAGAGGGGGGGGGGTTATGATTTTCAAGAAAATATAAATCCCTGTGTAAATATATGTTCAGGTTGATGATTGCTGTGATCAAGGAACGAATAGGGAAGTGGAGGGAAGCTGTTGTTGACTTTAGGTTCATTCTGAAGCAGAGTCCAGAATATCTACCAGCCCTCAGGTAAAGTTCATAATATCTACCAGCCCTTAGGTATAGTTCAGAATATCTACCGGCCCTCAGGTAAAGTTAAGAATATCTACTAGCCCTCAGGTAAAGTTCATAATATCTACCAGCCCTTAGGTATAGTCCAGAATATCTACCAGCCCTCAGGTAAAGTTAAGAATATCTACTAGCCCTTAGGTAAAGTTAAGTATATCTACCAGGCCTTAGGTAAAGTTCAGAAAATCTACCAACCCTTAGGTCTATTTTTGAATATCTACTAGCCTTCAGGTATAGTACAGAATATCTACCAACCCTAAGATAAGGTATATTTTCGAATATTTACCAGTCTCTTAGGTATTAGTCCAGAATATTTACCAGCCCTCAGGTATACTTCAGAAAATGCTGAAAACAAACTCGGGTATAGTCCAGAACATCTACCAGCCCTCTAGTATAGTTCAAAATATCTACCAGACCAGGAATCCGCTTCTCCCATTAACCCTTATCATTAAAATTAAAAGATTTTGCTTTTCCAAAATAATGTCCAGACTTAATTTCTATCTCAAACTGTTCAGGGGTCTTGGCGAGTCTTTGGTTGCACAAGCGCAGAACTTTATTGACGAGAATTTAGACAGGTACACTAGTTGAACAGGATCAAATAAATTTCCTTCTCCTCCGATCCCAGACATGTAGATATATGGGATAAAGTACTTTTTGTTGCTGTTTAAACAATATGGAAGTAGGATTTTATGTCTACTTGAAAAGGTTGACATTGCAAGAGAATGCATATTTTCTTGTAATATGATAAATTAATAATGCAAATACAGTACATAATCTGAAAGTGCAGTACAGTATACGCAATAAAATGTACATAGGAATGCAGTGGACTGTGTTGAGGAAGGACTAGAAGTATTAACCCAAGCTGCTGAACTTAAACCTGGTCTTCCAGGAACATGGAGGTAAACAAATACTTATTTTTGCGGTTTTTTCTATATTTTCTGTCAAGGTTCAAATTAGGCATAGCGTAAGAAAAGCAAATATTTAAAGTATACAATTTAGAAAACAATTGACCTTGAATTTTGACCCTGTAAGAACATATAAATGGAATAAATGAACCAAGAACGAAACAACTTAGTACACTAATCCCATCCTCAGGTTCTTTTCTCCCAAAATAGAACTCGAGTCTCCGCATCTAAAAGTTAAACTTCTATTATTGTTATTTCTCCGTTTTTTTAGACTATTGGGTGACTGTTGCGCGCTACTAGGTGAACTCCCTTGCTCTGTAGTTACTCTACATGTTCCAAGTAAACTTGTGGGAGGTACAGAAGGCAAGGAGAAGGTATAATAAGGGAATATATCTAGTGGATAAATATTCGTTTCAAATAATCCCCCACCCCGTTCATATATATTTCAAGGCACAAGCTTGAAAATCTTTCCTCCACCATGCTGGGGGGGGGGGGATTCTTTAAAATGTTTACCTCCTAAATAATTAATTTGTTTTATTTATCATTTTTAATTACTTACATTTTTAATTTAGATTGATAAAGTAAAACTACTGGAACTGGGATCAAGGTGTTATATCAGGTTAGCTAAACCTGTAGTTTTTATCTTGTGTTGGTTTATTTGTAGTTCAAAACTTCAAAAGGACGCGAGTCAAAATTGATTTTATTTTGTTACAGGAACTTTATTTTGAAACATTTTTCTAACTCTTGACTGCTTATACTACGTAACTACTAGCTTGTATACTTGAGTTGTAGTCCGCAGGAGACCCTCTGGGTCAGTAGGGCAGACAATTTTTGGAGTCCTCTCGGAACAGTGTTTGTTCATACAGGGTTTCCTCTCGGTTCATTCTTGAACACTGCACCTAGCACAGTGGTTAAATAGTTAGTTTGTCCAGTCCTGTTTTAAAGATATTTTAAAATCTGACTAGTGACTACATCTGAGTGACTACATGATCGGTAGAGACCGTTCAAACTTTTAAGTTTTTTTAGTCTGGAAAATCTGAACTAAATATATTTAAGATTCTTTATCAAGATCAAAAATAAAAAAATTTTCAAATGAAGTTATTATAACAAAGTTATAGATCTGATTTATTTAGATTGAACACGGGAAAAAGAAAAAAAAAAACAATTTCCTCCTGTATTAAATATTAGGCTTTCAGGTTCAATGAACATTTTCTTTTTGTAAAACTAAATCAAAAAGTTCGCGGATTTTTAAAAAAAATCGTAGATTTTCAAAATTTAATGAAAATCAATTTCTACTGGAGGTTAATTTTTGAAATTTTGATCATCCATAAACCTTCCCTGGGGTCATGTGAGGTCCCACACAAAATTTGGGCCCAATCGGTTCAGACGTTTTTGAATACAAATAAACAGACAAACGCCCAGACACCAAAGCAAGGTTTATTTATAGATTGGAAATCAGGACTTAGTTTTATAGCTTTTTAAGTCTGAAATTATTATTAATATTTGTTTAGAGCATTAAACCTAAATGGAGAGAATTGGAGGGTTTGGCATCAACTTGGTTTAGTTTACAGTGCTCTTGGTAAACTCAATAGCTGCAGGTAATCCTTGAAAGATATTTTTTTATTAACAGTTTGTCCAATTAAAATTGATAATTTCGTGATAAATAAATCAATTATAGAACCGGAAATTACTCCGATTGGTTTATATTTCGGAACCGGATGCAAGTGAAGTAACGCAACTTTTGACGAAATTTACCGAAAATCTAAAATATAATATATGTACATTGTACAAGCTAAATCAAATTGGAATTTTCCAAGAAATGTGAATTTTTGTCGCTTGGTCATGTACTGTTTATCTTAAGACTTAAAAAAGGGTTGATAGAATTCTTTAACTTGATGAAATAATCTTTATTTACTTCGTGATGAAGCTAATTAATAATTTGATACTCTACCCTTTTTAATGGTCAAAGTTCTGAAAATGATTAAATAATATTTATAAATATTGTTTAGGGATTTAGCGTTAAAATCCTTGAGTGTGATGAAACATGCAGTGAAGCTTGCTCCTGCGGTCAACTCAGTTTGGAACTCTCTTGGGGTAATTGCTTGCCAGGTGAGAAACCTCTCATAAAAACTTGTTAAGGGGCTCCTATACTTGAAGTGAGGGCCCTACATTCTATAAAGGGGGCGTATTGGGCATGATTGTTATTTTTTTATTACAGTGCTTAGGATCCGGATCCGTTGAATCCCCAAGATTTGATCTTCTCGGATCCGGATCCGCAAAATTATGCGGATCCATAGATCCGGATCCCAGGGGCAAAATATTAACCAAAAATGCAAAAAAAAAAATTTACTCTCAAAACTAAAATCTGAACTATTAAAAAAAAGAGGGATTATAAAAATTTCCTGATTCCTGAATGGTTCATCAAGTTTTAGCTTAAAATTAAGCGAAAAAAATAAGACAAAAAATTGAAAATTCGGGTTTGTTAAGAAATTTAGTAAATTTTGAAGAAATAACTTGGATCCGGATCTATTTTTCCAAGAATTGGATCCGCATCAAAATTAAAGGGAGTGTTCGCGAAAAATGAAAGGGGGTATAGGCTCAATGCGATAAAAAAGCGCTTTTGATCGCTAATAATCTTAATTCTATCTGTTGCGTCTATAAGGAGAAAATTGTTAAAGCCGTCTCATACCGAAGAACGTAGTGCCCATACAAAATAAGAAAATTGCAACATACGACTTAGACCATAAAAAGATCAATTTAATTTCAAACAAATCATTCAGATATTACAACCTATAGTCATCGATTATCTTTCGCCATATTTATATATTAGTTGATTTTCATAATATGTTTTAATTGTTATGATCTGAGAGTTACATTTATTCCTGTTTCGAGGATTTTTGGTAATGAAGACGACATTTTCATATTATCCAGGAATGTTCGAAAACAAGTTGTAAGCTAAATATTATTTTAAAAAACAAAATTAAAACTAGTATGAAATATCAAATATATACAAATGTGGCGAAAGATAATCGATGACTATAGGTTGTAATATCTGAATGATTTGTTTGAAATTAAATTGATTTTTTTACGGTCTAAGTTGTATGTTGCAATTTTCTCAATTTGTATGGACGCCATGTTATTCGGTATGAGACGTCTTTAACAATTTTCTCCTTTAAATGGATCCTAAGCACTGTTTTTTTTTAATGTGAATCCTGGTTCTAGATAAAGGAGTAATATTTCACCAGATGGGGTCACGTTGTTTGGCTTATAATTTAATCAATCCGAGATGTATGGCCCAAAACATACCTAAATGTTTGTGGCTAACAAAAGCCCATGAGCCGCTTTACTTGGCCACGCATAGCGTGCACAATCCAAGTATCCAAGTATGCAGTGTGCGTAGGGATTGCAGCGAAAAGGAAAAATCGTTTTGCGAAATTTCGCTTCAATCTGTTTCACGAAGAAATGCGAAATTTTTGCAAAATAAGAAATAAAAAATTTGACAAAAAAAAATTCGGAATTTAAGAAAAATCAAAATTTTGGCAAAATTTTATCTAATTTGAGACAAAATACAGCTTCAACCTAAGGTTTCTGCGAAAAAATTTTTCCCGAAATTTCGCTTTGATTTCGTATTTTTCGCTTCATTCATTTTCGCGAAAAAATGCGAAATTTTGCTAAAAAAGTTTGCGAAATACGAATGAAAATTTTCGAATTTCTTTCCTTTTTTTGCGAAACGTTTCGCTCGCTGCAAACCCTAAGTGGGCGGGATATGTTATTGTAGATAATTTTGACCAAGATATTAATCATTAAAAATAAACAAACACTGCAAAGCAGTCGATAACCCCATGGAAGTTTATGCTACACATTAATAGTAATTGCTTTCTTGGTTGTAGGTAGAGGATTGGGCCCTGGCACAGCATAGTTTTATAAAATCCTTGGAAGTTGAGATTAGTTCTGGTGCCTGGACCAACCTTGGGGTTTTATATCTACACTTGGGAAATGCTCACTTAGCAAATAGGTATGAGCATGAATCTATATAATAATTCTCTTCGCTCATAAATATATATTTGTATATCTGTATAAATGTAAGCTAGTCAGTCAAATAGCTAGACCAGGGACCCGGGGGGTAACATAGGCTTTTTTTAAAATCAATTTTTATTTATTTCACGGGCAACGCCGGGCACTTTATCTAGTTTTTAAAAAATATATATTTAATATTATACTTGTTAACATGGTACATATTTTATTTACATTATGTTCACTAAATTTATCTTTAAAAAAAAACCGTTTCTATATAATAATACGTATACATCTTGAATAATTTCTTTCCCTAAACGTTCATTTAGAAAAGAAAATCATTAATTTTAAATTCTAGGTCGTTCAAGGAAGCACAGAACCATGAACCAAGTAATCTTAGAGGCTGGGCCGGTCAGGCGCTAGTTGCAGAGGTAGGAAATAACAACCCAATACTTAAAGGGACTGTATGTGTAATTTCAAGTAAACCATAATTCCTTAATTCCTATATATGTTTTCCGGCAGTAGAAATGTGCAATTCACTTTTGTAGAGAAACCACAATCAAATAATCAGTTTTCAAAATTATAAACATTAATATCTAATTCATACTTGATCAGCCAAAGCTTTTAAGAGTATCGTTGTGAATCGGGCATTGCCACTAAAAATTAAACAAAGAAAATAATATTACAAAATATAATGAATTTTCTTAACTAGGTCGCTGGGTTCAGATCTGAGAGTATGGATCTTTTCCGTCACTGCACGTTCCTGGGTGGAGAACCCGAGTCCGCCCTGGGATACGGGAACTGGATCTGCTCAACACTGTCGGATCTAGAGAAGGGAGAGAAGGTGGAATCCCACAATAGATATATCCTTGAGCAGATGCATGGTTTGGCAGTGGCAGCTGACAGCTTGAGATTGTATTGTCAGCGTAAGCCGGACAACAGTTTAGCACTTTGTCAGCTGGCGATAGTTCTGGAGCGACAAGGATTGTTACGACGCGCATGCGAATTTCTAGAGCGCGCGCGAGGTATACTTGAAGCATCTGATAACTGGGATCTTTTGGATAAGGTTTTAGGAAACCTTGGACGGATTCAGTCTAAATTAGGAGAGCATGAAAAAGCTGTGGAAACCTTCAAATCTATCAGGTCTCAATATTCAGTTATCATCAAGTCAATCAAACAAAGTTATACAGTAAAATTTAAGATTGGCACGTATTATTCTCAACGGTACCCTTAAGAGCGTTTTTTTATCAACAATAAGAAAGATATGGTCTTTTTACATGAAGTAAATTCTATTAATTTCCTTCATTATTTCTGAGGAATAAATGCGCTACTCACTTTTAAAGAGAGATCCCACTAAAAATATATATTTTTATTTATCAGGACTACAAGTTTGTACAGCCAGGTTGGTTTAGCTTTGGCATATTTCTCTTTGAACCGTTTCCAAGAAAGCTACAGCATATACGACAGCTGCTTTCATTGGCTGGCGGACAAGGACGGGTTGAAGTCTGATATCCTAGTAGCTATGGGTATCCTAGCCTACAAGGTGGAGGGAGTTCAATCTGCCAAAACTCTTCTCTTTCAATCTTGTCAGCTCCATCCACCATCCGTCCGAGGTATCCTGGCCCTCTGTGTTATTGGGATTCAGAGCTCCGATCTTAATCTCATTGATGCCGCGCTTTCCGAGATGATAGTGCACGAAAATGATCAACGTCATGCACACGACATTGCTTTTCTCCGAGCATCCGTCATGCTACTCAAGGTAAAAAGGCACATTAGAAACTAACATTTTCACCATTTATAAATTCTTAATTTAGGGTGATGCCGTTGGAGCACGTAAGAGTTTGCTCCGGGCTGCGCACGCACAACCCTGGTTGCCTGGGCTGTGGCGCGCGCTTTCTGTTTTTCTTCTTCAGAACAGCGCAGCTGAAGCTGGGATTGCTGCAACTCTTTGTAAAAAGTCGGCAGCTTCCTCTCTTGATCAGGTATCCATTAGCCAGAGGATGAAACTTTTGGATTGTGAATCTCACGATAATTTGTCTAGTCGGCTTCCTTGCCTTCTCACGGTTTTATTTAAGATGTCTAACCACAGGCATAGTCACCTCTTTCTTTAAATATCTCTCAGTGGATATTCCTTATATTCCCAGAATAAACAAAAAATTAATTTTTCCGCTTTGGATATTAAGTTAAGTTAACATGGCTTAGCGCTGTCCCAACCATAAGTTCGAGCCTAAGGCAAACAAAAAATAAGAATACTATTATGGTTTATTCTTAAAAACAGTATATATTTTCACAATGAAAAATGCTGTTGACTTTTTATGTACATAAATGTAAAGAGGTCACTGATTTTAATGAAATATTTTTAGACGGACAAAAGATATATCTCAGTCCTCAATGAAGGAAAATCTTCAGGTTAGTTTTTTTTTTACAAACTTGGATTATTGTGGCCATATCATCAGTGGCAGTTAATAAATATCATATTAATAATAAATGTGTTGGCGTTTTTCATGGTCTGGGTTTCTCCATAGTTCAGATATGTTTATTGTTTATTGCTGAATATTTTCCTCACATCCCAAACTTAAGAATATTATAATTAGGATATTCAAACCAAGATTTTGAAACAAATTTCATATTTTCGTTTCTAAATTTCACGTGACCAATTCATTTAAATTCTTAATATCACCAATATTCTGAGTTTATTTGTTTAGAGAAAAATGTTCAACGCTATGGTTAGATAGATATTCATAAAAATAAATAATTTTCTAGGGTTTTGTGGAAGTTTATCTACAGCTGAGAGTCTTGTTTTAGAGTCCTTGTGTTTACTAACAGTTGGAGACAGGTATATCATTTGTATTCTTTAACTTAAGTCAAATTTTGACTATTTTTGCAATTATTTGATCTTTTTTGTCAAACTTTTATAACTTTTACTTGATATTTTCCTGAATCTCGGTTGGACATTTTTTTAATATGATGGTTAAATTATTTAATATTTTGTCCGTCCTAAGCTGCATTTATAGACAACATTTCATAGCGTTCAAATCTAGAATCTTTTCAGAGACTCCATTAGAACTAAAAGTGGTTCTTATTTTTAAACTCTAGATGTATATTATTAAGGGCTGGAGCAAAAAGATCTAGTTCAAAGCTGTGTCACCTTTATCCTCATCTTCCATCTTCCTGGGCAGTATTAGCCGCAGCAGGTACCTTCTTTCTCCCTTAGTTTTAAGGGACAGAGGGGGGGGGGGGTATTGCTTATTCTTTGCAATTTTGGTTTAAAAAAAAAATAATTAAAATCTGGGCGAAATAACAAAGAAAAAATAGCCTGTCGGTTGAGGTTCAATTTTTAATTCTCTAGTTAATAAGACATATTTTTAAGCGAGACACGCGTTGTAAGTTTTGTTTCCTTTTCTTAATTTGAAATCCAAATACTTGCCTTGGTTCAAAAAAAGCATATAGAAAATATTTTCGGAACTTAAAAAAAATCTTTTAGGTGACAAAAGTTGCAGCTGGTTAAAGAATGTTCTAGAGTTGGTCCGACAAGCCAGGGATACTCAGCTGACCGAGTGGGCCGGTCATCTCGTTTGATAAACACGTACTGCGATATATAATTTCTTAATAAAAGTTCTTAATTATACCATTTTTATTTTAAAGTAAATTAAGGGTTAAAAATTTATTGAGATAACTTAATGAATAAGACAATAACTATATAACTAGTATTAGTAACAAAATAATATTATAGTTAGGTAATTAGTATATTTACATTTAAGATAAGGAGCTCAGTCTTTGTTTGTACTTGAGGAAGAAAATCATGGCAAACAGATGAGATTGTTATTTAGCGAGAGATCTCTTTTAAAACTTGGTGATAATAATAAATATTCTTATATCGAAAAGATCCCATCTTTTTATCTAGATTTTAATGGCAGTGACTAGAGTTTTCAAAATCGGACTTTTATGTTGTTTTGTCAAATTTTGTCCAACATTGTATGTATAGATATTTTTCACCTGAGCTGTGTAATACTAAAGAAGAAAGCTGCTTCCAAAACATAATTTTGCTAATACTGAGCAGCCAAAATATAAAAACTATAGCTAAATTTACTTGCTTGATGTTTTCAAAAGAGACTCAACGGAATCTTATCTCTTGCTGCTCTAGAAATTGAAGCAGCTCGGGCAGATGCTAAGCTGTGATAACAGCTGCTCCCGAGGAAACTATTTCTGAATCACTGATTTCAGATCCGCTCTCCTCATCCTCATCCTCTTCATCCGTATCAAACTCGACCTCCTGCTCCCCGCTCATACTTAACACGTTTTCTTCCTCCGGAAACCCTAAATACTCCTTAGGCATACTTGAATCCTGCACTTCGGTTTTCCCGTGAGTTTTTATGTGTTTACTCAAATGATCGGATCTCATAAATTTCTTTAAGCAGCCTGGACACTGGAACCTTTTCTCACCGGTATGCGTTCTTCTGTGTCGTTGAAGTTCATCTGATCTTGTAAACCGCTTCCCACAGAACACCCAATTACACACAAAAGGTCGCTCCCCACTGTGCCAGCGCAGGTGTGCGCGTAAATGTGAAGTTTTTCCGTAAATTTTGTTGCAACCATGAATATGACAAATATGTTGTTTTCTTCGCGGAGTTCCGTCAATAGATTTGACCGTTCTATCTTCATTCTTGCAATTCGGACAAGAGCAAGCGACCCGTCGCATCCTAGTTTTTCCACCAGATGTACTTGTATCTAACGCAGAGCTTTCTGAGTTCTGCTGTTGTGGTTGAGATACAGAGGAAGGTATTGCTATCTGCACAACATGCCACTTGTTAGGATCTATTGGATCCTGCTGCAGCCCTTGAGTACTACCCGGAGGAAGGTTGTGGAGCCCAACTATATTGGACATGTTCGGAGCAAAGGAAGATTGAGACACCATCTGTCCTACCTCTATAGGAGAGGGTTGGCTCTTGATATTTCTAGTGTACTCCATAGGATCAACGGGTTCTGTTTTGAGCCAGGTTGGTTCAGTTTTAGGTTGAATTGGTAGTTGTGTAGATAACGAGATTGGAGCGTTGTTAATAAATGCAGTTTGTCCGTTCATCATGGAGGTTTGTGCCTGGGTTATGATAGCTTGAGGTAAAGAGCTAGATGAAGAGAGGGAAGGAGATGTGGATGTGCATTGAGTTGTATTTGTGGTTTGCGTCATGTGACTAAGTTGAGGAGCTGCTTGAATCATCGTCATTCCACCGCCGAAGGAACCGGCGACGATGGAGCCAAACTGCCCGCCGCCCATGAGCTGAACCTGACCTGCTTGGTTCATGGTGATCTGTGAGCCGATGAGTTGAGGTTGAGCTGCTACCTGAGCGTAAACGAGCTGTGGACCAGCAGATGTCTGGATTAACTGGGGAACCAACTAAACAATTTATTTACTCATTATAAACTTAATAAAATAAAATGCTTGTTGTATAATCTATAAACCTTGAACCCAGTTTTCTTAACTGTGAGAATAATTTGCTAAGGCTTTGAAAAAAGGAACTTCCAGGAGGACAAAAATCGTGAATATTTTGCAGAAGTTAATTAAAGGAAAATAAAAAAATTTCCAGATTAATTTTTTCCGTAGAAATCCAAATTTGACTGAGTACTATAAATTCAATTTTTGGTTAAAGCATTCTAATTAGAGAGGACATGTGAATGTTCTAAAATGTGCTGAATTTAGTACCTGAGGCTGTTGTTGTTGTACAGGAACCTGAACCTGCTGTAGTATAGTTCCAGTAGGAGTAGAGACGGGTATCTGTACTGTCATAAACTGTTGAGGAGCAGGAACCTGAACCATTTGAGGAGCAGCATACCTTACTAAAGCCTGCTGTCCTCCGGGTAGTGTTACAAGCTGCTGACCAAACCCGGAGCTAGCTACTCCTTGCTGGGGAATAGAAACTCCCTGACGTCCAAGTCCCTGACTCTGAGGAACTCCAAACTGTAAACCAGGTGCAAGCCCTGGCTGGGACCCGGAAATAAGATTCGGAAACTGTGAGGATCCAGATTGGATAAGTGAGGGTTGAACAATTTGAATCTGAGATTGTTGGTTTGAGGTAGAAGCTTGAACCGAGAAGGTTGAGGAGTTTGGAACCCCGGAGAAGGATTGAGATGAAGCAGAGGAGAAAGATTGAGATGAGGAAGGAGGAGAGGATTGATCCGCGGGGATAAATCCAGGAGGAACCTGAACTAAACTGTTCGGTCCAGTCTAGAAAAAAATAGCATTAAACTTGATTTGATAACTTAAAATATAAAATTGAAAAAATAATATTGTTTAAAAATCATATTTATATTTATAATTACATGTATATATATATATATCTAGTTTACCTGTATAAAATGTCCTGGAATTCCAGGTACTGTTATAACTTTTCCTTGCGGTAGTTGACCTGCAGCCAGCTGTTGACCTGCTTGCATCTGTTGACCTCCTTGCATCTGTTGACCGACTTGCATCTGCTGACCTGCTTGTTGTTGCTGGTTTGAAGAAAGTATTTGATCTTGATGGACATGTTGACCCGCTTGAATTAATTGACCTCCTGCAAGTATTTGACCTCCAGAAACTATCGGACCTCCCTGCAAGGACTGAGAAGTTGACATGATTTGACCGGCTTGAAGCTGCTGACCTACTGGCATAAGCTGACCTCCTTGAATCAGTTGCCCCAGTTGACCTGCTTGAAAGATCTGCCCGGAATGCATGATTTGTCCCCCTTGAAGCTGTTGCCCGGCCTGCACCAGCTGCTGCCCTGGTTGCAACTGCTGGAGCTGTATCTGTTGTCCTTGCTGTTGAAGTTGAGCTGCCTGAAGCTGTTGATTAATCTGTTGTTGCATTTGAGCAACCTGAACTTGATGTTGACCCATCTGCAGGTTGGGTCCAACTAGTTGTATCTGGTGTCCTCCAGGTAGTTGCAGCATATGGGATTGTTGATGCTGAGGCTGCTGTTGCTGTTGGAGAAGCTGATGCTCCATGGAGCTTTTGTCGTCCTCCATTATCAGCAATTATACAGAAACCTGAAATAAAAATTTGAAAATTGAATAACTTTTTGATTGAAATTGGAACAGTTTATTAGAAATAATCAATTAAATTAAATGAATAAATCAATTATTTCAACTTTAAATGATAATTTAATTTATATACAATTTATTTCCAGAAAATTATAACTAAACTTTTAATATTGGCTTTATAAATAAATTTTCTGTTTTTGAATGAAGATTAAGAGTTTTTCAGCTTTTTTGGTCAAACATAATTAAATTTTTTTTAATCTAAACATAAACACATATAATTTTATTCCTGCCGATTTTTTTGATGCTGAATATAAAAAAAATATTTTTTACTCACAGAAAAAATTGTAAAATTTGAAGAAAATTTTATTTTATTGTCTAATAAACAAAAAATTTAACTTTTACAAGTTGTAAGTCATGAATTTCAGGTATATTCCTAGAGAACGATTTTTGGGGAGCCCCCCCCCCCCTCCTATCAATTTTGTACATGGGTCTGACAGGAAGTTTCTTAACTTAACCTAACTCGTGGCCGCAGCGCTCGGCCCCCTAGCCCATCCTAGCCGCAGCGCTCGGCCCAGAAAGTGACTTAACTAACCTAAACCGTGGCCGCAGCGCTCGGCCCCCTAGCCCATCCTAGCCGCAGCGCTCGGCCCAGAAAGTATCTTAACCTAACCTAACCCTAAATAACAAAAAAATAAATAATGATAAATTTGCTGAAAAATAAATGGTCATGTACAAAATTGATAGGAGGGGGGGGGGGGGCGCTCCGGGGGGGTGGTCCAAAAATCGTTCACCAGGACAGACAATTAACCATGCACAGTTTACAATACATAATACATATATTACATACTATATCTGGTTTTTGATTGTGCTTTCTAGAAATCATATAATGATCAAATGTTGTGGTTGTTTAAATTAATAAATTTTTTAAAAACTCACCTTTGTTGTATTATCAAAACATTTTTTTAAAGATATATTTCAGTTTTATTTCTGCTTCACAGTATAGTCTGGGAGGAGTAAAGTAAGAACTAGAAGTGTATGGATGGGACTGGGAGTGGGACCTGCTTCGCCCCTCCCCTTTTCTACCACAACCCCTCCCCCCTTCTGGCCCCCCCCCACTACTAGTCCGACTCGATTCTAGCCGCCTCCCCTTATTAGTTGCCCTGGAAAAATACTTTTTATTTAAAAGTATAATATTTATTTTTCTATTTAAGGTAAAGTGGTGTTTGAAATTAGATTTCTTTCTTTAAAGAAGGAATTTACAACCCTGTCATTGAGGTAGAAAAGGGGTGTTGGATTTACAAAAATAATATTTAAAATTTCCAAAAATTTTATCATTTTTTAAAACTTATTTTTCAACTATCACATATTTTTTTTTAAAAAATGTGTATTCTCTGCTCCCCCTTCCCCCCTAGGGAGGAGGACCAAGAAGGGCCGGTACTTGAAATGATTGGACTTGTCGGGCGGAATGAAGGCAGTATTTGCCGGCCTATGAATGGGTCCGGGAACTTACTAATTTGTTAACAAAATCTCATTTTTGTAAATTTATGGTTTAAACTTTATCTAGCTCCGGCTTCTTTTTAACCTTTAATAATAAATGTATGCTCCGTTTTTCAAGTTTAAAATAGTTGTTTCAGGGCCCATGTATAAATCCGAACCCTCCCATTTAAGAACGGAGGAGGTCATTCTCGTACCGTTTCGATATCTTTCTGTTGTCCCAGCACGGTTCCAGACTCCCAGTCGGGAGGTTCCTATTTTTGTACCGAACCGTTTAGGCTAGGGCTGGTGGAACGCGACTGGTGGGTCGAGTAAAATCGACCCTCCCTACTCTGTAAACCCTGCAATTAGGGTGTAGGCTAAACAGGGGACCGGGGCGCTTTATCCCCCCGCAAATTGGCGCATTAATCAACGGGGCGGGGCTTGTCTTTTGATAGGTGTTAAAAATAACGTCGTGAACAGGGGCGTATATGGGGGGGGGGGTGCACAAGGTGTACGTCCCCCTTTAAGCAGAGTGTTATAATCTTGAAGGTCCGGTCCTTCTCCAAAAAAATTTAAAAGCAATCCCGCAAAAGAAAATGTAAGGGCTAGGAGGAATAAAGAAAATATCTGTTAGATTTTCTATAAGTTATTAATTGCAGTGGAAAATAAAATAAAATTGCATTTAATTGCCTCGAGCCGCGCCATGGCCATGCATGATATAAAAAAAGAAATTTGACCAGAGCTGAAAACTTTAGAATGGGATGTCCTTAATCCTGATCGGATAATTAATCTGGAGATTAAAAATGAGAGGAGAACAAGCAATATTTAATCTCGAGATTAAGAAAAAGAGTGGATTAAGCATTAATCCCGATATCCACTCTTTTTCTTAATCTCGAGATTAAATATTGCTTGTTCTCCACTCATTTTTAATCTCCAGATTAATTATCCGATCAGGATTAAGGATATCCCATTCTAAAGTTTTCAGGTCTGAGCTGAAAACTTTAGAATGGGATATCCTTAATCCCGATCTGTTGACTTATCTGGAGATTAAATTCATGAGGAAAACAAGCCATATTTAATCTCGAGATTAAGAAAAAGAGTGGATTAAGCATTAATCCTGATATCCACCATTCTAAAGTTTTCAGCTCAGGAGATTAAAAATGAGAGGAGAACAAGCAATATTTAATCTCGAGATTAAGAAAAAGAGTGGATTAACTTTTGAATGGTGGATATCGGGATTAATGCTTCATCCACACTTTTTCTTAATCTCCAGAATAGATAATGCTTGTTCTCCTCTTGTTATTAATCTCCAGATTAATTAACCGATCGGGATTAAGGATATCCCATTCTAAAGTTTTCAGCTCTGGAAAATTATAGGGTAGCATGAAGAGAGAGCAGTACACCTTCTAGCCATTTAATTTTGATTTTGAAGTATTGCTTTTTTAAAATTGCCAGACCCCACTTAGAGTATGCTACACCTGTTTGGAACCCTTGGAGTATAGGGGACTGTGAAAGCCTTGAAAAAGTCCAAAAAAAACCGCAATTAATATGATCTCAGGATTGTCAGGAACCACATATGAGGATAAGCTTCTTGAACTATAGGTATCCAATCCTTATCTGATAGAAGAGTGTACGTTTCGGTCTAATTCAGACTTACAAGATTATCCATGGCAAAGAAAATGCCAAGCTAGTCACCTGATTCCCATCTTTAGTTTCAGTAGAAGTAAATAATTCCATTTACTGACAGCGCCAATTAAAGGATTCATAACTCTGATTGTATAATGAGATAGATAGTACCGCCATACTATTTCAATTGGTTCAGACTAGACAACAAACACATGACTGAACCCTGATTGGATCAGGCGCTAATGGACTCGGCATACAGATGTGTCCATGGTTGGTTGATCCAACAAGAACCAGACAATCAGCATTTTACCTAAATATTCATCTAGAAAGATCCAACTTAGAAATAAGGAACAAATTCTTCAGCAACTTTTGGTAACCAGGAACAAGTTACCAAATAACATCAAATAACACCTGAAGCTTTTTAAATCTCTTTATGACAAAACCTGGATAGATACGTAGAAAACTATCCAGAGAACTCCGCTAAACTTCTACTTGAAGTACCCTGGAGTCACAAACACAAACAAACAAGCGGAGTAAATATTTTATAAATTAAATTTAAGTGTTTTTTTATAAAATGTATGTAAAAATCCAAAAGTTACACCCCCCCCCTCCCCGCCCAAACCCCCATGGTAATTGTTTTTAACTTAAAAATGACCAAATTCCCTGTAAAATTCCAGAGGTGTAATTTTTTGCCGGGGGGGGGGGGATAAAACTCCCACTCTTGGAAAAAATTGTAAGCACTCTTTTCTTGTAATTGGTATAATTAACTTGTACAATGTACATTGTACACTGTACACAGCTTTAATCTTATTAATTGAAGGAATTCACCTTTACCTTTTTTAGCCTTTGCAACATAAACATCAATCCATTATTAACTAAACAAATTAAGCAAGAATAAAAGAGAAGCTTAAAAATAACAAAAGTCATATTTTGAACAAATCTGTATTTGTTTATGTCTTGAGATGGACTCAACTTTTCTAATCTTGGCATCCTGATATATAGTGTAAAGCAGGTGTTAGTTCATTTCCCCAACACAATTCCCCCAGCCACAACTTCTCCAACAGCAATTTCCCCATGCAGTAAAATTCTTAATTATAATTTGGTCTCTCCTCTGCCTTGGCCCGCTCATAACGAATTTTTCTAGCCAAGGTTGTCTTGTCCGACATGTTGGCAGCAACCAGAAAAGCCATTCTATTCATTTCTGAGGCTAAGTTATTCAGAACTGACCTGCCTGGAATATCAGGGTTGGCCAAAGCATTACAATATGCTTTTTTCAATGGCGGAAGCTGCACTCTTTGCATGGGTTATATTATGATTGTTAGAAAGTGATATGATAATGTTATCAGACTCATTCACAACGGCTGTTGCTACACATTTTAAATGTTTCCTTTTCTCCAGACAGTTCCAGAATGATTTAGATTTGTCCTTTGACATTGATTGCAAGGTTGTACTAATACTTATTGGGATCCACCAGAACATTTCTCTTCTTCGAGGACAGTGAATAAACTGCCAACATTGTCTACTCTAATCCAACTGAGTGCACAAGGTGTACGTCCCCCTTTAAGCAGAGTGTTATAATCTTGAAGGTCCGGTCCTTCTCCAAAAAAATTTAAAAGCAATCCCGCAAAAGAAAATGTAAGGGCTAGGAGGAATAAAGAAAATATCTGTTAGATTTTCTATAAGTTATTAATTGCAGTGGAAAATAAAATAAAATTGCATTTAATTGCCTCGAGCCGCGCCATGGCCATGCATGATATAAAAAAAGAAATTTGACCAGAGCTGAAAACTTTAGAATGGGATGTCCTTAATCCTGATCGGATAATTAATCTGGAGATTAAAAATGAGAGGAGAACAAGCAATATTTAATCTCGAGATTAAGAAAAAGAGTGGATTAAGAAGGTTGTACTAATACTTATTGGGATCCACCAGAACATTTCTCTTCTTCGAGGACAGTGAATAAACTGCCAACATTGTCTACTCTAATCCAACTGATTTTTTTACATCCAAAAAGTTGCGAATTTTTTATTTTAAAATGCGGATTTGTTCATTGGAATAATGTTAAAAACGAAAATATTTGATATTTTACTGCATGGGGAAATTGTTTTTGGGTGAATTGGTTGTTGGGGAAATTGGTTGTTGGGGAAATTGCTGTTGGGGAAGATATCTCATGGAAGTTGTGACTGGGGAAGTTGCGCTGGGGATCTAACCTATTACCGTAAAACATTGGGTTGCAATTAAATAAAGATTAGAAGTTAAGAGTTTGTGGCAAGGACTCTACTCCTCAGAAAGCTATCACCATTTTGTTTATAAAGAAGGGGGGCATAAAACGTATTACTCTCCGGAAAAGTTAAACAGTGTTTAAACATAACTTAGAATTGTCGTAGGAGGCTGATTTTTTGCATGCAAACTCAGAATTATGTATATTACATGCATTTTTTGGTTTTAAAGGAATCTGAGCAAAAGTGCGCGCGTGCTTTTTGTGAAAAAATGCGACTTTTTTTTAACAGTAAATTAATGTTAACTTCATTAATTGCACTTGAACATTATTCCTGACACTTTGTACACAAATATGCGCTAAAAAATCACCTCCAAAGGCTTAAATATCCGCGCGCGCGCGCGCAATGAAAGAAAATATCTTTGAATACTTCTGTGCTAAGTTTAGCCTAAGTTAGAATAACAGTTGCATGTGATAAACCAAACTATCGCAAAATTGGGACAAGGAATTCATTTCCGAGGTCAAAATAGACATTGGAGCATTCTGACCGGCGCGCTAGTAGCCAACCATTACATTATGGGTCATCTTAGTACATTTTTTACATGTTGGATGTCGATTTATAGGCAATTTGGCACGAGGAATTCATTTCTGAGGTCAAAATAAATATTAGAGCATTCTGACCGGCGCGCTGGTAGACGGCAGTTACATTAAGGGTCATCTTGATTAGACTCCCCCTACCCCCCCCCCTTTTTTTCATTTTTTGTTTCTAGTACCCCAGAATCGACATACTGCATGCAAAACATATGACAGGATGACCCAGAAGGTGACAGCTGGCTGCTAGCACGTCAATCAAAGAGGTCTTACACAAGTTTTTACTAAGAAATGGATCTATGTGCCCAATTACCTATAAATCGACATAAAACATGTAAAATAGGGGGGAAATATTCCCACAACCTCTACTTTTAGAGGTTTTAAAACACTTTATTTTGCATGTTTTTGTTATATTTCCTATATAAATAATTTTTTACTTTTACTTTTACTTTTTATTAGGTTTACACATAGATTTATATTATCAATAATAACAGTTACTGATGGAGAATAGGTAACGGCAATATTGAAAATGCAAAAAAACAACTAAATATTTAATCAGATTATCAGTAGGGACTGGAATGCTAGATGAACTAGAAAACATTACTAGAACTTTACAAAGCAATTTTCAAATTGATCATAATAAAATATCAAATTATGATTCATTTTGAGCCAAAAAATACATTTTTTGAGTTTTAATGAAAATTATTGAATTGTCAAAAAATTACAACAAAAAATCTTACAAATCAAAAGGAAGGTGACACATAAATGTTTATAACAACCGTATACATAAATACAGTCATAACAAAAAATTATTAATAGTATTGTAAAAAAATTAGCAAAAAGTTTGTTGATACAAAATAATTAAAATTACAAAACTGAATAAATTCAGGATTCCTTTTCAGCCAAATTATTACAAAAAAATTGTTTTCTTGTACATAATCCAGCAGCAGGTTCAACAAAGAAAACCAAGTAAAAGAGTTTTAAATGGACAAATAATTTCAAAAAGAAAGATTCAATTTAATTTTGATTAATTTTATCCTTTTTTAATTTGAAATCTTAAGGAAACTTTCATAAACTTAATAGATAAAAAGGTTGATCACTGACAAAAATTAAAATTGAAAATATCACTTAAAATCTAGGGTTCAGGATTTTGATCCTGGAAAACAATATGTATTACAATGAAATAGAATTCTGAAGGACAAGAATAATTTTAAAACGAAAGTTTATTTCAGGAATTTATAGCCCTTCTTCAGGGTACTTTCATAAGCTTACAAAATAAAGCCATTAAAAAAATCGTGTATCAATTCCAGTAAGATAAAAAAATCTTTACCAAAGATACAATATTTATGAAGAATACCAAAGTTCTAATTTATAATGATTACAAGATCCAATGCCATTCAAAAGGGAAATATAATTAAAAGTATCCCATTTAAATATAGAAAACTGAAGAAAACTAAAAATATTAATTTTGAAATGTGGCCAGTAGTTGATAAGCATGAGAGGATCATGCTTTGTTTTCAATAAGTGAGCAGAGAGATCTTGCTTTGATATGAGTTGCTGAGGATCATAGTTTGATCAGTTGGTGAGGATCATAGTTTGATATCAGTTGCTGAGGATTATGCTTTGATAACAGTTGGTGAGGATCATGCTTTGATATGAGTTGCTGAGGATTATGCTTTGATATGAGTTGCTGAGGATTATGCTTTGATATGAGTTGATGAGGATCATGCTTAGATATGAGTTGATGAGGATCATGCTTTGATATCAGTTGGTGAGGATCATGCTTTGATATCAGTTGATGAGGATCATGCTTTGATATCAGTTGATGAAGATCATGCTTTGATATTAGTTGGTGAGAGGATCATGTTTTGATAGAAGATGGTATGGACCATGCTTTGAGTTCAGTTGGTGAGGATCATGCTTTGATATCAGTTGGTGTGCAGAGAGGATTGGTGAAAAGAGAGGGTCATGATTTGATATCAGCTGGTAACCAGAGAGGGTCATATTTTGATATCAGTTGGTAACCAGAGAGGTTCATGCTTTGATATCAGTTGGTATCCAGAGAGGGTCGTACTTTAAACAGCTTCACACTTACTTTATGCTCCAAGGAATAATAATCTCTGTTCAGAATAAAGATGTTAGCCTCCTCTCTTGATAACCCTACCGGAGCATATCTAACTGTTCTAGATTCTTTACTATTACCATCATGTAAATACTTAAAACTGTAACAGTATTGATCCTCTGTATCCTCCACACTATGGTGCAGGATTAAAACCATATACTGAAATCTCCAGGTCCATCTCCCGGTCCTAGTTCGCACTTTCTCCTGTTTACACGACAATTGAAGTTTCAACAAATCTCTGGAGCCTTTCAACATGTAAACCGAATAAGTAGCGAGACCAAATGGTGAAATTTGTTTGCCTACTTCTGTATTAAGCTGCAGATAAGACTTATTAGACTCAAAAAGCCTACAAGAAGTGAGGTGGTCTCCCATCTCTTCTTTGGGAATATTCTTCTCACAACCATAAGTAGGACAAACAAGAATTCCGTTTCTATTCTTGCTTAGCTTAATTTTCTGTTCTATGTTCTTGATAATTATTTCATTCTGTAACTCCAAACTTTGAATCTGTCTCTTCTTCTCCTGTAGATCCCTTTTATACTCTTCCAGCTTCAATTCCAATATTTTAAAAATCTTATCCTTCTGTTCCTTGTTCTTGTCGTGTTCTACAGACTGCAACTTCAAATTCTGAATAAGTACCTTAGCGTCCATTTCTTGAGCAATCTTCCTCTCAACTTCAAGAATACCTGTAAAACATTAGAAATAAATTAATCTACTTTCAGAAATAATAGAATCAATAGGAAATTAAGTCCCTGAGGAATTTAATGATATTTCATAAAGAGGTTAAAGTAGATTTATTGACATAAGGACAAACTTAACTGTCATAAATGTTAACACTCAGAACCTGTCCAGACCTATGGCCACAGCGATACACCCACTAGATTTTCCTCTACCCTCCAATTTAAGAGGTTAATGTCCAATTCACAACGGTACCCCTTCAACCTTTAACAGATCAGTAATGTTGAAAAATCAATTTTTGAAACAGAGTTTATGGATATCTCATTCGTTCTAGTCCAAAAAGATTTTAGGGATACCGTTTAATTATGCCAATCTGTAAATCACTTTAAACTTCTTGTTTCTCTATATTGAATATACCTTGATTGACAAGCTTCATGTCAGAAACTTTTTTCTCAAGTTCCATAAATTCTGCTTGAACAACAGCTAAACCATTGAAAGGTGTAGCGCTCATGATTCTAAACTCTTTGAACTTTATCCGATCTTACAAGATACCTAAACATAGAGGTTTTAAGCAAATCAAATTAACAAAGAACAGATAAAATATTTATTATTATCATTCTATAATTGGTTTGATTAATATGATCGCTAAATATCAACTAAGTATATAACGCAGGAAAATAAGTTTGGATGAAATAATTAAGCCATTTCTAATTTAGAATATTCAATCATAATTAATAATTTTAACCGGTTTTAGTATGTTAATTATTACCCCCCCTCCCCTCTGAAAAAATAAAATAATAAAATATATAAACTTACCAGAAATACTCTATAACAGTACTGAAGTTTATTTCAGTCCTGGAAATCAATATCTATCTGAAACATTAGATAACAATATTGGTTTCAAACAGAGTGCAAAAAATATTCTATTATTAAAGATTTCTGAATAGCATAAAAAACTGTTGATAACCTTTCTCATTTATACTCGTAAAAGTTTACATATTATCAACAATTTTCTTACTAGTTTACAAAGATTCTTCTTTGATTACGAAAAAATCAACATAAATCAAATAGAATAGATAAAGCTTATACATGGATACTATAAACACTTACATGATCGACAATTTACTAATACAAAAGAATGAATCAAATTGAATAGATTAATCTGATTTAATTTGTGATTCTACCAAAATTCTTAACATTATTTCAGTGCTAGGTAACAAATATTTGAATTGTATTAATGGATATTTTTCAAAAATAACCCAGTGAAAAACAAGTTCAGTAAACAAGGAAGCTCAACCTTGATCAGATTTTAATTTAATTACAATAATAAACAAGACCAGTAGACAAGGAAGCTCGACCTTGATCAGATGGGTTTACAAGTCTATGGTGAGTAATTACAAAAATAAACAAACTTAGTGAAATCATCATCAATAGTGTTTTTTCCAAGAGATTTATAGGGTTTCTGTGTGTACCATCGAACTTGATTATCAACGCCACTGAGCCCAAAATGATTAAAATCCACACGTATCATTGTAGGAAAACTCCTACCCTTGTAGAATTTCATCTTTGGTGATATCTTTATCTTTGCAGGATTCTCTGGTCTTTTGCCCACAATCTGGCCATTCAAGCAGTATAATGGACCTTGGCAGTTTTTGCATGGATCTTTGGTATGCTCAAGTATCTCAGATGGATTCAGAGAAGAAATTCTCTTAACCTGAAGTTTTTCATGTTCCAATATTCTGTTGGTTTCATCAAACTGAATCTTGGTTTCATTTGTGATATCTCTAAACTGTGCCTTGAACTTTATCAGTTCATCTTCTGCATATTGGGTGCCTAGTAAACATATATATATGAATTACAATTATAAAGAGGTGGGAGGAGGGGGGGGGGAGACATTATCTCCAGATCTAATTTTAAAATGAACTCATTTTTTTTACATCATCTGCTATACAATAAATTACTTCTCTTCTGTACATATCCTGCTGTACACTTTATTTCTTCTCTTTTGTACATATACTACTGTACAATATATTTCTTTTCTTCTGTACATATTCTACTGTACAATTTATTCCTGCTGTACAATGTAAATATCTGAATATAACCAATTACTCCATACCTTGCACCAAGGTTATAATGCAAGGAAGGTTAATTGAAGTTGCGTATACTCTGCGTACATATTGAAACCAGTTCTCTCAGGGCTGAATTTGTAAACAAGAATAGATGCATTAGTGCAGTGTTCGTTTAGTATCCGAGGAGGATAAAAGCATTTAATTTTGATAATTTTGATAATTCACATATTAGTTTTCTATGACCAGAATATTTTATTGATTTTTTATGTGAAAGATGAATCCCATGTCAAGCTGTGACATCCGTCTTGTGTTTACATTGCCGACCAGAGACAGTAAACTGCAGTACAAAAGATGCGTACACCTCTGAAATAACTTTCCTTGCATTGTAATTCCTTACCTTGCACAGTCAAATGCATGCCAGCTACTTGTTCCTCAAGTTTAAATACTTCTTCTTGAACAACAGCTGAAGCATTGGTGGTGTGTGAAGAGCTCATGATTATATCCTCTTGGAAATTTAAAAGAAACCTAAAATTAGAAAGATTTTGTAGGAAAACATTAAATTTAAGCTAAATTGTGCACTTTCAAAGTCAAGATTAAGATTTCATGAACATCAAGATAAAATGATTAGTTTTCATTTCAAAATTATGAAAATTTCCTTTGCATGCCAGCTAAGAGGCTTTGTGTCACTCACTACGTCTTACTCAGTGTGACCCTATACCCCCTACCCTCTTTGAATCAAAATCTTTTGTAGCAATGTACAGTGGTTCCCAGAAAAAAGGTCATCTACGGCCGGTCTCTACGATGGGGCTGAAAGAAATCATGTTTTTTGTTGTGCTATTTCTTTTGTGAACTTCATAGCTTTAAACTGAATTAGTATGTCATGTCATTGTTTCAGTAAAAAATAAATATGTTTATATCAATTATACAATATACAATATACAATATACAATAGGATCAATATAATCAATACTTATTGTCATAAAATACCCAGTGAATTGTTAATTTCATTCTTGCTACAGAAAAAAAGGAGGAAATTGTTAAAATTGAACACATTTCGAGTTAAAAAGCCTTGATTAGCTGAGAGGGTACCTCAGACCTCTATAACTTAATAGTTACTTGAAATTACAACGGCAAGCCCTCTAAAAAGACAATATCAAAGGTTTTTTCTAGTTATCTGGAAAATAGTTTTGTGACTTTAGACATTTAGGATTTTTTGATTTAGAACTTAAAGTCATCAAATAATCAAGAAATTTGTATTTTTAACTTTCACCTTACACCCATCATTGATATTATTCTAAAATAAAACCTACCAAAATATTCTTTAGTACAGTCTTGCAAATTCTGTAAGCCAATCAATTTGTATCTGAAACATTACTATATTTTGGTTCTGTACACTTTTAATGAACAATTAAAATAACTAATAATTATATAATTGATAAATTGCGACCAAAATAAAGAAACCCTTTCATTACAATATGAAAGAAAACTTACATATTAAAAGATTATTAAGTTCAACCTGTACAGCTTACATTGCTAATATTTCACAAGAAATTTTTACAAGATTATATGTTGATCATAAAAGGATCCACTTATATCCATTTTTTTTGAATAATCAGCCAAAACTTTTACAATATAACAATATTACAATAAAATTATTCTTTGACTGTGACTTGCGCATTTCTTGCTTTTAAAAAAGACTGGAGAAATTATCAGAATTAAAATTTTACAAGGGAAACAAAATGACTCATCTTCCACAATTGTTATGCAGATTTAGGTTTTAAGGTTGCCGTTGTAAATCGGGCATTACCATCTTCACACTTGAAATTACGCTTACAGTCCCTTTAACGATGTCCGAGATATACCAATTGCTAAAGAAAGGAAAAATTATAAATCTAAAACCCTATTAAATCAGGGGAGAGCATTTCTGTGGGGTGGGGGGCACATTTAGCGCTTGTCCGCGCGGGAAAAAAAATGTCTGTACCCTTCTTGGCAACATTGTACCCCCCGTTAAAAACCCCCTTTTTTGAAAAATTATTGATACCTGTTTTAACTATTCGATCATATACACACTTCCATATTACAAGTGTTAATAAGTTATTTATGTAATTTTCTTAAGTGGACTCATCAGACAATCCCTCTTAATACTGTTGTGTAAGCTTCAAGGGATGAAAAACAGAGATAGAGACGTTTCTAAAAGATTATATTTTCATAGGATCGATATATATTGTTTCATAAATTATGATATCAAATATAAATTTTTACTGAGGGCAGTATTGATTAAAGCTTTTTTAATGAAACTTTTTTAGTTAAGGGCAAAAGTGAGATATTAAAGTGTTTTTTTATACGATGTAATTATACTTAAATGGAATACAAGCGTAATTTCAAGTGACCCTCCATTTATAGAGTGGCATGTCCGATGTACCTTTGAAACCTTCATTTCTCCATCGTTTCTGAAACAAGAGCACGAGTCACTTTTGTAGAGAAACCACAAATAAAAATAATCAGTTTTCAAAATGGGAAACACGGATATTTAAGGCAATACTTTATCAAACAAAGGTTTGAAGGGTATTGTTGTGAATCAGAATATATTTTATTTCTTTTCTCAACCTTTTAGTTTGGGTGAGTGCAATGCAAAGCAATGTAGAAAACACACTATCCCATGCAGTTATACATATACATTATACAAAGAAAAGTTTTTCAATTTTGTTATAAGCAGCCAAAATATTTACAAACCCTTTAATAAATTTGGATGTACAGGGGTTTTAACAGAAGATGGGATGTCAGAAAAAACAATGAGTTAAAATCTGGACATTACAGAAGAAAAAATTCTTTTAGTTGACATTTGTTTTTTTGAAATCAAGGATTTAAATATGAGGATTTAGGATCACCCCTTTACAGGGATATACCTGAAGGGGGGCAGGGAGTGTTCGAATTTCATGTGACTCTCCATTTGTCGAGTGCCGATTCACAACGGTACCCTTTAACTCAAAGCTTCGTCTGATCAATAGAATGCATGATGTGATATATTAATCATCATCTCTCTGAAAGTTGATTACTGTCATTTGTGGGTTCTCTACAAAATTCACTTACGCATTTCTGCTTCAGATACAGTATGGAGAAAATTGTCAAAATAAAATAACTAGAAAAACTTTGATATCTTTCACATAATTGAACAACTAACGGTTTAAATGAGGCATTCCACAGATCTTTAGATGGAATGTCACGAGAAACTCGACAATCTCTTAAAGAATTACAATCAGTTAGATACGGCCCAGTCCTTACATCATAAATTACAATGAGTATACAAGAAATATAAAGAAACTCAGTCTGGGCAGCAATAATTTTGATTATATTACACAGAGCGTCCCATATCATATTGGACTATCTCCAATCTTTAACTCTAAAATACGCACATAATACTCCAAAAATCTAGCATTTTCTGCAATTTCTATTAGCCTTATTAAATTTTTCAAAGTAATTAATTCTTCTTAGATTTTCTGTTTTACCCCCAAATCGGAATTTACCCATTGACGCAGTTTTATTTGATGTGGGACACTCATATAATGAAGATATGAGGAATCCTTATATACCTTCTTTGACCAAAACCAAAGATTTTACCATGAACTTCTAGCTTTGTTTCCAAATAATTATTGTTCTGTAGTTATAGCTGAAAAATGTTAACAAACGCAGTGAGCTTTAGTATCTTACTCCCATAAACTGAAGATTATTGGTAAACTTAGTTATGGTGGTTCCTGGTATGATATTCATTGATCTAAACTAATAAAATTAACTTCTTAGTTATTCCTTACCATGAAAAATGCAATTTTAAGGCCCTTAAAAAAACTTTTAGAATTAACAAGAAAATAATTCTTTTCTAGGAGTTGTCTTGAATATTTTGTGTAGCTTGAAAGAATTGTACTTATCATAGACAAAACAATAAAGCTTATACTCAGATATAATATAATTATATAAGATATATTTAAATAACCTCGGGTTTCAACTTTTCAAATCCTCCTACTCAAATATATATATATATATATTTACAATTTTATATGAATATGGAGGTATAATAATTTTTATTTAAATTTTGCATGAAACGATGAATATATATAGCGGATTGGCGTATAAGGTCGAAAAATACCCCACCATTATATGTTCAAAAGAACTCGCATAGTTCTTTTGATCAAAAATATGGTTCCTATGAGCATGAAATAAAATCATCGCTATTGATATTTGAAGGGACGCTACGTCAAAAATTATAATATTGCACTTCGTTCAGAACCTTTTTCTCAACTGAAGAATACGAGGAGTTTAAGTGGTATATTCCGGTATATTCCTAGAGACCGATTTTTGGACCCCATATCTTCTTGAAAAAGTAAATTACGGCTATCGCTCGGTCAAAATAATGTTCAAATATCTTGTAACTTGTCCGCTGCTCGGTTTTTTATTAACTGAACCAATACCATACTGTACAGTTACACAGTATTCATAAGTTTCAAAACCGGTTTCTAGACTACGTGCAATATTGGTAAACTACTCACGTGGTACAAAACGTGCAGATGTGTTGTTCTAACGAACAATAATTCAAACGGAGTTCAAACTTGATTGATTGATAAACGTTTATTTCTTAATACCTTTGCCATGCACCTTATGCCTACCTTATTACTGGTATATTCTGGAGTTCAAACAGGATAGCATCGAAGAAGACTTTTTAAAACAAAAATCTCTCAGTCTCCGCGGCAATATTAAGAGTAGTGCGCACGGATAAAAATTCAAAACACAAAAGTAAAGGACTGAAAAACCATTGAAAACCCTTGATAAAAACACTGCTAGACGAGCTAGAAAGAAGGAAATTACCCTGATGCTTTTTATGGGATATTAAAATGGGCTCAGATGCAGGATATATTTCACTCAAATCCCAGGGATAGATATAACATTATCTAAATTTCATCTGAGTTTTGTTATGTTATGAAAAATTGATATTATCAAATTTACGATTTTTATATAATGGATAGATTGTAAATTTCATGACACTTTATGTCCTTCGGATATGATCACCAATTCGCACTTTTTATGAGACCCCCGCCCCGCCCCCCCTTCCCCTTTCTCTCACAATGAAACATGAATCCTGGAGCTAACTTGTTTTATTCTATCAGCTGGAGTTGTTACCGGAGATAAACCAATGTTGGGACTTGTTCTCCGACACTCTGATACAAGCAGGAGATGGATCAGTCCTTGCTCCTTCTCTTATTCTTGCTGGAGGTAGGTAATGTTATCTCTTTTATTATCAAAAGTAAGTTTCTCTTAATATTTTCATGGAATACTTACGAGCCAGTCTGCTTTATAAAACTTTTTCAATCGATTTTTGGGGTTTCCCTAGTTACGAATTTTGGACCTCTCTCTCCCCTCCACTCCTGTTGTTCATTAACCCCTTTTTGAAAACTATTGTTACTTGAATTATTAATATACATTTAAATTATTTAATTCATTTTAACTGAAATGTCAATTTATATATTTATATTGTAAATTTTATAATTACATAAAGAGTTTGAGGCGAGTTAATATTTATTTTATAATATTGTGGGGCTAGGTAAGGTCCACGAAATTTCTGGGAAGAACGCTGCGACTTGAACAGGCTAGGGCGGCTAGGACAGGGTAGGGGGCCGAGCGCCACGGCTTGGACAGTCTATGGGAGTGGGCGCTGCGGCCACATGTCCAATGTCGACGATGTGTTCAAGTGTTGCAAATGAGGTCTATGTACAAAATTTATACGGGGGGGGCTGGTGGTGGTCAATATCGTTCTCTAGTAAATTACACTAGTTTTTTGTTCAGGTTCTCTGTTCCTGAGAAAATTGCTCTTGGGGGTCGAGGCAATCCATGAGTCAGTGCTTGTTCTTCCGGACTACAGAATACAGGACATTAGGTTTGTCCCTGTTCATTCCGACTACAAGTAACAGTAAGAACCAGAAAACTCTGAAATAGAAAAACTACTTTTAGAATTAAGTTTTTAAAAGTCCAATGAGCATGAGTCGACAATTAACCATGCAGTGTAAACAAACCCATTTCACTAAATTTGTGATTTAATAAGTGTCTAATTAAACTATTTGCTTTGTAACAACATCAAATACAGTATTGCTATAATGTCGTCTTCCTATTCCATTGTTTTCTGGTTATCACAATATTACTTTGATATATGTTCTCCAATCTCCATGTTATTTTAATTTGTTATGTTATTTAGGAATCGAGATATTCAAAAATGCCAAGTTCAAATTTAATTTCATACTAAATTATTTTCTGCCCTCAATATGTGATATTCACATGTACAATGTTGGTGCGGAAATCTCGCAAAGACATGTCGTGTAGTTCTAGGAAAAAGATCTATGATGATAACAAGAAAAGTAACTCAGCGGTTCACATTATTATCGTCAAGAACTTTAAAATAAGATCAAATCAATCAATATTTAATATATATATAATATTTCACCAGACAGATGCTGTACTGTCTGCAGAACCCCAACCCTGAGTACGCCAGGATCGGGTTCCTAGACGGTGATTCCCCGTTAAACTTTCTGTTCCCAGTTTTTCAGTCTACCAAGGTATTTTATGATCGAATGAAAATAAAAATTAAGGGGGGGGGGTAGGTTATTTAAATATCCATTTAGTTACAAAATCTGATTCATAAAAATTAAAATCATTTAAGGTTGATGACGTCCTTGTTAAGCAGCCTGATGAACTGTTCCTTGATAGTATTGAGGAAAAGGCAGATAATGACCTTGATCAAGAATTTAGTGAATATGAAGACGATTCTAGCGATAACGAGGGAAAATTAGATACAGGTAAAACCTGTAGAAGAATAAGAGAATGGATATTGAATATACAATTTTAAAAAACTTCCAGAAAACATTGAAATGGTACATATGGTTACCCTCGAAATGATGAGACTTCAGAGACGACTGCACGAAAGTTATACTGTCTTTTTCCATCCATATATTCATGATTCCTGCAATTGCAATCTTTTTCAAATCATTTAATAAATCAGTAAAAAGAATATTTGTAAGGACAAAAACTAAATTTAATCGTGGGCTTATGATAGTTATAAATCTTTAGGTGGTCATTACAGTCTTATCCTCATTATAGCTAACCATGTAGCAAAAGTGAGAAAAATATTTAGCTTTTAAGATTTTATAATCTTTGCCTGCTTTAGATTTGGATAGCGATAATCCGGATGAGCCTGGAACGGATGAGGTACAAGGCGATCTCTCCGAGGGGTCAGAACTATTGAGTAAGGACGAGGCTGAGCTAAGGGTAGAGAAACATCTTGCAATGAACCAGGAGTCAAAACTCTACTCATGCAACCTGTGTCAAGGAGACTTTTCTTCCAAACTCAAGAAAATAGTGATTATTCACATCCTGAAACATTTAAATATTTATCTGTTCAAATGTGACGAGTGTGGGAAAATGTTTCGACAGTTGTGTAATTTCACCCGACACATGAAGACTCACAGGGAAGGTGTCCCCCGGAGTAGGAAGGTGGAGGGGATGAAGAAGAACCAGATCTCCCAGATGGAAAAGTATTCAACCCGGTCAGAGATAGAGGTCCAGGATATTTGTAAATTGACTCAGAACCAACTAAATGGCAAACTTATTAGGTAGAACTGGAAGAAAATTGAAAAATGAACCCGCCCACCTTTCTTTTCTTGAAAAATGTCTTTTCTTCTGCTAATTTTAAACTTATGTATTGAAGAAAAATTATTTTTTGTAAAAATTATATAAATACGCCTAAATTTTCTATTTCTATCCGAAGACTATGAAAATAATTTTGGAAAATATAAACCCGTTAAAGGAAATGACAGGCATTTCAAAATAATGTCAGACTTTTACCTTAAAAATGCTTTTTCTCTGACTATTTTTAAAATTCTTTATTTAAGCTTTATGCAAGGATTGGCGCTTGCATCTAATGTGATAGAGAAGGAAAACCACGTTTACAGGTACAGTTAAACTTGTACTGAAGGAAACGTGAGCAGATTAGCAAACTACTGAAGTAAAAAAACTTTTGAATCGATAATTTATTTAAACTGGTTTAAGAAGAGTTTTGATTTTAAGTAATTTCTGAGCATTGATGAAATGAAAATGCATAAATCTTTATACCTCTTGTCTATCCTCATTCCGACTCCGATCACTATAATTTTTATTGAAACTCACTTTATTTTCCCTGCTGACAGATGGAGTTGACAGTTACGTTCTTATACTTGATACTTGTGAAGTAATTCTACATCTTCCAAATAGGAATGTTGAGAATATCTTGATTTCTTCATGTGTGGTCTGCTATAGATCAGATGTAGCTTCAATTTTTCTCAAATCAGCAGCCACTCCATCCTCAATGATTCTTATCATACAGTTGTTTAAACTGAACTGTATTTCTTGCATGTTTAACATCATAGGGTAAAGCATTCCATAGGTCAATAACCCTGTGTGAGAAAAAATTCTTCCTTATCTCCAGTTTAACAACAGGTTTAACAAGATTAAGACTGTCTTGATTTAACCTTGTGACTTGTTCTCTCAAACCAACAAATTTAAACCAGGTGTTCTTGTCAACATTGTCAAATCCATTGACTATCTTAAAAGTTTGAATCATGTCTGCTCTTATTCTTCTATTCTCAAGTGTTTGAAGATTCAGCTCCTTGAGTATTTCTTCATATGTTGATCCCNGGGAAATTTTCTTCTCCAAATTTCTTTTCGAGTTTCTGATAGTCTTCTGAAGTTGTTTACGGCAGACTTTATAGTCATCTAGATCTGAGTGAGATTTGGTCACTTTGCACTTTTTCCACAATCTTGCCTTCTTTCTTTGTAGTCTTATAACTTCTTTATTAAGCCAAAGAAGTTCAAATATATAAAAAACCGGGTTTTAGATGAATTTTATTCTTTTCTTATATTTTTAACACCTTGACATGGCCATGACGGAATATAACACAAAATTGAGATGTCAGCTGTTTGGTAAAATATGTGGAGAATAAATTTACATTATTTAGATGTAAGATTTGTGGTAAAATATGTGGAGAATAAATTTACATTATTTAGATGTAAGATTTGTGGTAAAATATATGTAGGAAAATAAATTTACATTATTAAGATGTAAGATTTGTGGTAAAATATGTGGAGAATAAATTTACATTATTTAGATGTAAGATTTGTGGTAAAATATATGTAGAATAAATTAACCTTGTTTAGATGCAAGTTGTGTGGTAAAGTTTGTGGTCGAATGATAGGGAACTGCAGAGACCATGTGTGGAGAACACATTACAACGTGTACCTCTACCAGTGCCCGGAGCTAGACTGTGGCCGAAGGTTCAGAAAGCTCACAGATTTCAAGGTGGGGACAAATATCAAATAAATAAATAAAACTTTGACAATTTTGAAATAAAATAGAAATCTTAAATCCATTGATCAAAAAGCAAAGTTCATCTGTCGAAATTCATCGAAAATTCCATAAATCATTGATTTTATAGAATACACCATTTATCGATCGCTATTTCAATTGATTACGCTATCAATCAAACATTTCTTAATTGAAGAAATAAATATTCAATCAATCAATCTTTGATTTAATTCAATATTCTATCAATCAATCATTAAGTCAATTATGCATACGAGCAATTTGCAATTTTACAGTCAAAAGTTTATAAGTTTCAGTTAGTGAAGTTTCCAATTGGTTAAAGGGACTGTAAGCGTAATTTCAAGTAATCTTCCATATGCAATTAGAGATTATGAGAGTGAAAAAGTTTAATATCATTCCTATATTTAAACAAAACAAATTTAAACTACACCATTAATATACGGAATATGTATGTATACCAATGTGTGTAAATAAATCTTTAATAAAAATAATAAAATATAAAGAGGGACATCCACGACTCACATCTGTACCCTTTAAATCTTTAACTGCTCATCTTGGACAGATATCTCAGTGTCTTAACTCAACACGGATGACGTCACATTTATTCCGGAAAATTTAGTACATTAAAAAAATTTTAATATGAAAATTTAAATTCTGCGACTTCTAGAAAATACATTACTACATATTAATATTCCCACAATGGGGTCTCTTGCAGATTTCACTTCCTTATGATTCCTTAATAAAACAGATTGCAAACGAAGTGTTTGCACAATTTCAAGCGGTTCTGCAGATAAATAAGGATAAGTCCTTTATCAGTTAAAGGTTTAAAGGGTACCGTTGTAAAATGGAGATGCCCCTGTTTAAAATGTAAGGTCACTGGAAATTACGCGCACAGTCCCTTTAAATATAAAATAATGACCAATCAATGACCAATCAATGTCCAATGACTATAATTAATGTTTCATGGTTAGGATCATGTAAACCAGCACGAGGAGAAGAAAACCCAGCTGCGGAACCTGGTGGAGAGAAATCAAACTAATCTCAGCTCCCTAGCAACCTTCCATCTCATCAACTCCCCATTAGATGTCACTAAGGTTGGTCTTTAATTAAGAAAAATACCCGGTAACTTCTAACGGAAATTGAGTGGAAGGGAGGGGTGGGGGGGGGGATTAGAAAACCACCCTTTAAGCATTTAAATTTATCAGATTCAATTTTGTAGGGTTGTTTTAAAAATACAACAGGGAACTTTTTTGCCTGAATTTTTTTGGTTTTNACATGTAAACTGTATTTAGGTTGTATAAATGTAAACTGTGTTTAGGTTGTATACATGTAAACTGTGTTTAGGTTCTATACATGTAAACTGTGTTTAGGTTGTATACATGTAAACTGTGTTTAGGTTGTATAAATGTAAACTGTGTTTAGGTTGTATAAATGTAAACTGTGTTTAGGTTGTATAAATGTAAACTGTGTGCGCACGCGCACGCTAGGCTGCAGGGCAGTAGAAACCACGTGCTTGCAAATCATCTTAATCAAGTTTATCTTTTCAAATGCCTGCACTGTGGTAAACGATTCAGGTATAATGTTATCTTTGACATAGTTTAGTTTGTAAGGTTTAGGCTTTCATTTATAAGTTATAATTTTTGAATGAATGTTGTTGCCAGCAAGCTTTTTTCCTAAAACTTAATAAGATAATAACAATAAAACTTTCGTAGATTTTCTTTATGTTTTCTTCATTTTTAAAAACATTTTAGAACGTAGATTTTGGCCAAATCAGTAAAAGAATGTATATTTATATTTGTTATGAGGCAAATGCGTTATAAATTGAATTATTTATTCATCCAAAATAATAAAATTTTATTTTCTTCATAGGTATGAGAATCAGTTTAAACTTCATATCGTTGTCCACAGTGAAGGGAATTGGAAAATTCGCAAGTTAATAAAATAAATTTCTTTTTTACATTGCAATGCTTTCTTATTTTATATCAAACTTTTTGGTACATTTTCTGAAATCTGGACATGGGTGTAGGAAAGTTTGTTTGCTCTCAGTGTGGAAAACAGTTGGTTACTAAACGATATCTGGTTCAACATGAGAGAACAGCACACGGGACTCAGGAGATACATTGCCAGGTGGGGCCAGGGGCATTCTTAGTTAATCAGGGGTATAATTTGTTGAAAATCATCCAGGGGGCCTTATTTTTTTTTTCATCCTTTTTTAAGACCCAACCCACCACAAGTAAATTGTTTTAAAATGTTTTGATATATTTATTTACTGTATTCAAGCAACTATTTAAAACATTTATTCTATGAATAAAATAATCTTATACAGTGGTCGGCGATTATATCAATACAATAAAGAGAACTTTTTTTTAAGTTTTGATTGTTTACAAGATTTCTAATAAAAAGTTTACAAGTAATCAAAGAGAAGCTTTTTTAATTGATAACTTCTCTTTGTTTCCATATTTATTGAAATCGTAAGTCGTCTTTATAGTATTGATTTGTACGACGACGGCTGTATTATTCCTAGGAGGCTGGATGTAAATATCATGGAAAAACACTGATTCAGATGGAAAGACACAGGTTTTCTAAATTCTTATAACAAGGAATATGAATATTTTATTCAAGGGCATAAACCAGGGGGGGGGGGGGCCAGTGGGACATTTGCCCAACTTGGAATTCTAGATAGGGGGTAGTAGCCCACCAAGAAATATCACTTTTTAAGACTTAAGAATGCCGACAGGAAAAGTATGATTTCTCATTATCACAAAAAATCTTCCATAAGCCCCTCCGATATCGTTTTTCACCATGGTTATTATATTTTTCATGTAATTATTTAATTAGGAAGGTTTACCATGAGAAAGATCGCTCTGATTGGCATTTTTGCGAGATCTGCGCCAAACCTTTTCCTTACATAAATGATCTCAAGGTTAGAAAGTTATTTTTTTTAAACTTTTAAACGGACGGAAGGCGTTGAACTCGTTCTATCTTTGAAAAATCTGTTATTTTTAAAACAAATTAATTCCTTTATCCTTATGCTCAGCTCATATTAGAGACAAAAATTCTTGAATAGAAAAGTTAACTGGCAAAGCCTTTACTATTATTTTCTATCTGCAGGTTCATGTTAGTAGATGTGCTGAAGGAAAAAGTCAAGCGTTTAAGTCCATTAGGTAAAATTATAAATTTTTGCTAAAATCTTTTTTTGTTCTTTTTTCTCTCGAATTTTTTTATGTTTTCTTTTTAGGGGTGTATACTTTTTCCTAAAACATCATCTAATTTCTCCTAAAAATGATTAATTTTTCAAAAAAAGTCATCTAATTTTTTCTAAAAATGATTTATTTTTCCCAAAAATGATTTATTTTTCCCTAAATATCATCTATTTTCTCAGTTCAGCGTAAAAAAAACATATAAAACATCTTGGGAAAAAAGATTGGGGTGGGGGGGGGGGATGGGGAATGATTTTTTAGGAAAATGTACACCCCTGTTTTTTATAACCTCAAAATAAGAAAAGTATTCCCAAAAAAACGAAGGTATGCGCTTTTCAATTTAGGTTTTTGGATTTGACATGTCTTTTTAAATTTACGCTATTAATCAGGATGAAAAAGTATATTAACAAAGAAAAAGATGGAATCCTGACATGTGTTCTCTGTAACCAAACTTCTAAATCCTACAGGTATAAAAATATAATTGAGGGGGGGAGGATCCTGTATTTAGGGCAGGTTTTATTAGAAAAAATAATTTATATTTAATTCGCTGTTTCTCGGCCCCCTCGCAGAACGAGAGAAAATTAATAATACCAATTTCAAAAGCAGTTAAAAAATCTAATGAGGTTTTGGGAGAAGGGAACCTGTGTCCGATTTTAATGAACTTGGGCCGCGTCTTAAATCCGCCAAAAACCGGTTTCAATTGAGTTTTGGCTTAAATCTTGAAACATTAAATACAATTTAAAGTGGAACCAACCATATTTAAGCCGCGGCTTAAATTCAAGCCGCCGCTCAAATTCTTTAAATTCGGCCTCGGATTAGTGCTTTAAGAATGGACTAAAATAACCCCATTCTTCAAATTTTTGCGACCTAATATTGTTTATTTAAGGTTTTAATCGATCTTGAGCAAAACAAAGTAATAGAAAGACCTTGATAATAAATTGGAAATAGATTTATTGATATATCGTTTTATTTGTATGCGTGAGCTTGTGCCCACACCCCTTAAGCAAAATAAATTATTAAAGTTAAAAATTGTTTTTTAAGGTTTCTGACGGATCATTTGAAAAAAAATCATAATATTTTGGAACAATCTGAATTGGACTTATGAAGCTCGAACAATGAGAACTCCGGATATGAGAACCTAAGATTCTATGATCAATTATTTTTATTAAATTATGAATATGTATATTACTCTCTATATTTGTTGTACATTATTATAAACCTCTGTGATATATCATATTTTATTTATAAATTATTTTATAAATCTTAGAAAACATAATTTCAGAATAAGATGCTTAGACTTCACAACTCTTATAACACAGAAGAGTTAAGTTGTTCTCTAAATCAGCTGTGGAAACAGGAACAGGTAAAGATGGTCTATGTTTTTAAGCATTTTTTAAAACTAAAAAATCTTTAGTATTACAGATGCCTTCCCAATTTTTTCCCTTTTTTTTTGATAATTTTCAACGGATTTTTACGATTGTTAATAATTTGCAAAGATATCTTTTCTGAATGTTGTTATCAAATTAGATTATCATATCAAATCTTATTCCGAGTTAATAGTGGAATAGTAGAAATAGACCACCCTGAATGTTGGCATCGACGTTTTAGATGAAATATTGTTTGTAATGTTTAGTTAAAAGAGACAAAAATGTTTGAAGACTTGTGATACAGAAAATGTTTTTACAGAACTTTTGAATTCAAGAGTTTCCCTTGGGATTGAACAATGAACATGTATATTCAGGGGAAACGCTGATTGGCGATAATTGCCTGGGGACCAGTATATCCCAAGCAGTTTCTTAAAAACAAAAGAATGGATTTATAAAAATTCGACCGTTGAATGAAACCCCTTGACAGCTAATTGCTTGCGCATACAAACCAAGGAAATATAAACTGCGGAAATACAATTTCTTGAAATATAAACTGAGCTGAAAACTTTAGAATGGTGGATATCGGGATTAAGGCTTAATCCACTCTTTTTCTTAATATCCAGATTAAATATGGCGTGTTCTCCTCTCATTTTTAATCTTCAGATTAATTAAGAGAGCAAGATTAAGGATATCACATTCTAAAGTTTTCAGCTCTGAGAAAATACAAACTGTGCAGGCGATACAAACTTCTAAAAATACAAATATTCCAAATTTAAACTTCTGGACCTAGGTACTGACCAATAAGATATGGGAATATGAACCTGTTAATGTTAAACCTTTTGGCTGATACTAATCTAATTTAGTTTACGGATTGCCGGATAAGTTGTCTGGATGGGAGTATAATGTCAAGTAAGATTGTCCTCGCCTCCCACAGCAGCATGCTGGAGGCCGTCCTTCAACCTGTGGAGGTCGGAGAGATTCTCCTTCTAGACTTTAGTCTGGAGGCTGTCAGGTTATAATATTAACAAAATTATTATTTAATTTTTTTGCAAATCCAGTAATAAAATATAATAAAATTATCGGTCAATTTTTTATTCTGCTTACACTGCAGTCAAACAAATAGTGAAGAGTCTGCGTAATTCTAAAAATTTGTTTTAGCCGAGACCTCTTTTAGATTAGTTCAATTCAGATTTCTAATAAAAGTTAGTTACCAATTTAAATTATGTTGATTTCTGATGAAAATTCGTGACCTAATTATTTAAAGTTAGTTTATTTAGATTTCTAATGGGTATATTACACGGAGAGCAGATCTGTAAACCGATCCAATGTTATGAAATACCCGAACTAATTCACGCACTGGGTATTCAAACTGATCTTACACATATTTTCCCACTAGAATCAGAGGTTAGTTTTTCAGATAATTCGAAGGAGTATTTTTGATGTGCCTTTGTGAACAATGTTTTCGACTTGATGTTCAGGGTTGCCCAGAAAGGATGGTACTGAAAAGACGACCCAAAACTCTTATAATATGACAATCTGAATGTTAGATTTGACCTTATTTACATAGCCTTCATAAGTTAAATGATCTTATGAATAGTTCGGTCAAGGCAAAAGCTTGTTTTTAAACGCAAGGGAAGCATGCATTGTTGTAAGAAAAAGGACTCAATAAAGTCAGTACAGTCGTCTCTGATTACCTAGATACTAGTTTGGTATAAATAAATATTCCCCCTTACCTGTATACACTTTATTTTCCCCAATATGTTTGACTTAAAAGCTTTTCTTTAAAGTTTTTATTCAATTTTGATGGAATTTATCATACCTAATATTTCCCGTTGTCGGGTGATTAAGTGATTTTATCGCCCTACAACAGGGCGAAAAAGTAACTTTTTCACCTTGTTATTAAAATTTCATATTTCATACATAATTTGTCTCATTGTAGGGTGATAAAGTTACTTAATCACCCTACAACAGGGTGATTAAGAAACTTTATCGACCTGCTTTTAAATAATTTGAGTAAAACTGAAAAGAACTGTATTTATGTTATTGAAATGGGTTTTATTTTGATCTTAAACAAACTAGAAAAATTAAAATTCCCGGCGAAAACTTTTCCGCACTTAATAAAACCCATTACAATGACGTAAAAAGATATTTTGTCACTGAATTTTAAACTTTTGGGATTTCCAGAGAGGCTGGGGGAGAAACGAATTTTTGGGTAAAATGAATAAGTTTGGAGGGATCAAGTATAGTTAGATGGAAAATATATACCCCTGCTATACTTTAGCTAAAAATATGACTCGCACTTTCTGATTCAGTCATAGTTTTCTGTTATTTTCTTTTTTCTTTCTCCACATTAAGGTTTTTGAATATTTTGTATTAAACGAAAGAAATCTAATTTAACAATAATCAAGCTTTTTTAGATTGAGGATTTAGAAAAACAGAACCTCAAGGATGATGAGGCAGACGAAGAAAAACCGGAGGTTATCGAGAAAATACAAGTTCTGAGAAGAGGTCGGAGAGGCCGGAAAGTTGCAGAAACCTGTGATATATCTCCTAAATCTAAAATTAGTTCCTTAAATGATGATTTGACCCAAACTATTGATGAATTTGTTCAGGATGTAGAAGAGGAAGAACAAATGGATAAACAAGGTGAACCAACTGATAACAACCCCCCCCCCCTCCCATCAACCAGAGGCGTAGTCAGGAGGGGGGGGGGCTATGGGGGCTCAGCCTGTGCACTTTTCAGCTTTTAGCGTCTCTCAATTTAATTTTCAGCGTCGGAACAATAGAAGTGCATAACTATTTAACCAATGTAACAGTACTTTGTAACCAAGTAGAAAGTATAAGTAAACTGTAGATAGGAAGCTCTGGTAAAGATATCTCATATCAGTCCTGTTTGGCATCTTAAGATCAATCAGTTGAAATCATGTTTTGACATCGACCATATTCTCCAATTAGGAATAAAATTTTAATAAGTTCTGTTGTTCATTAATCTGCTTATGTTTGTGAGACAACCCTAGTCTCTTTTGGAGCCTTAATAACTCTGGGTTATACTGATCAACTCTTGATGATCAACTGCAATAAAATCAACAAGGTTATAGATTGATGATGTACACTAATCCTTAACTAATTGTACAGGCCAGGATAAGAAAATGAAGAGGCAAAGCGTACCTCATAATCATTTTATTTAATCTTGACGCCTATATCAAACTAAAAAAAATTTCCTGAAAAGTGTCCTACCGTAACTAAAATAATTTTATCAAGATCTGCAAAAATACTAAAAAAAATAACTGAAATATGTTTCATTTAAAGATTCATAAATACTTGTGAGAAAACTCACCGGTAGGACTTTTTACTTATAATACTTTTCTTACCCCAGGTATGACACTAAAGAGAAAAAGATGCCAAAGTCCTAGTCCCTCCCAGAGAAAGAAAACAGGACGAAAACCTGCCAATGAGAAGGTCAAACTCCAGATGGGAGCTGAATATACAGGACGGTTTGTTGCACCGGAGGAACTTGAATCCCTCTGTTCTTCGTATATTAAGAAAAGTTTGTCTAGTCCAGATCCTAATCTCTCCTGTGATCTGTGTGGATATGTGAGAAGGGAAAGAGAAGTTTTGATTCAACACATAGCAGTTCAACACATGGATCTGCTTACTATTAAATGTAACATCTGTCCGCATCTAGGGAATGATGTGAACAAGATGGAGAGACATATGAACACTCATGGATTTACAAGAGAGAAAGATAAGGTTAGTTTAAAATTTTTTTTTTTGGTGAATTACTCTGTAGACCTTGCCCAGTTAGGGCCATATTTAGAATATCTGTGTAGAGTATTCAAATACAATACACATTTACTGATTCACTATTTTATCACTTATTTCATGTTAACAGTGTCTCCTACATAATATAGATTATTTGTTTTGAATGTCTTCAGATTTATAGAGTTTTTCCATCACTGGGCAAGTTGTTTCATATAATCACTTTCACTTGATTTCATTGGATGGAATAGTTTCTTATCCTTATACCTGGATATATTTCCAAAAGTCTCCTCCTACAGGGCCTCTACTCGGAGAACCAATACCTAAAAATATGTTGTTTTTTTATCCTGACAGGTGTAACTGGTCCATTTTATCAATGTGTCCTGAAGTTCTTAAAGTTCCAGAGATGTTTAATTTTCTCTGTCACAGATTAGGAGAATTAGTTTTCCGCATTATATGCATATAATAACTGGAAGATTATCCCACCCAAATGAAATACAGCTGTGTGAGGAACTTTTGACAACCTAATGCAATTTTCTTTTTTAAAACACTCGGCAGGCAAGACCCCCATGAGTCTTTTTATTTTGAGTAAGCATCCTATTCCAAATGTTCTCCTGGGCTATGTGGCTTGTTGTACATTCTCTACTTTGACCATTGCTGTTTAATATGAAGTATTGATGGTTGGACTTTTAGTATGGTTGATTTTGTAGGTGAACATTGATGCGACTACTGATCGAACTGATTTGAACTGTGATTGCTATCACCTTAGATCATTAGATATTCTCTAAGATATTCTTCTAATGGTGTTGCGGTTCTAACAGGAAAATGCATACCAGGTTCCTATCTTTATGAGATTGTTGTCTTCCCAAATGACCTGAAGTAACTGCATGAGGTGGAAGGTAAGGTGGATGCTGAAACTGTGAGCCTGAGTATAGTTGAATGCAGAGACCCATACTGTCTTGAAACTGTGAGCCTGAGTGTATCAATGCTGAGACACATACATTCATGAAACTGTGAGCCTGAGTGTATTAATGCAGAGACCCATACATTCATAAAACTGTGAGCCTGAGTGTATTAATGCAGAGACCCATACATTCATGAAACTGTGAGCCTGAGTGTATTAATGCAGAGACCCATACATTCATGAAGATAAAGCTGTATTTCCTGAAAATGTCTAGGTATATATTAAATTAAGAGAGAAGGCTGGACGGAAACTTTAATGTGAAGGTACATGTCATAATGGTCACCAGAGCTTAGTTTTGACCCCTCAAGAGTGGGTCATAACTTTAAAGGTGATCACCCTGGTAATAAGATCTGTTGGCCATCTGCCTTAGTATTTATTCTAGAAGTGAAATATAGAATCTCTCAAGAATTGATGTGAATAGCAGTTGTTTTCTAACATTTATAGAATTGAATATATTGTGGAAGACGATGTTTCGCGGCCTCCAAAACAGAGTTCCACAACTGGAGATGAACGCGGAATTATTCTGATTCTCGAGAGATCTATCTTGAGTTAGTTATGTAAAAGTTTACTGGATAAAGAAATATATATAGAAATACTTCTAACCTAGTTTTTATAGAATCCGTCCGTCCGTTCTCCATGGGGGTGGGAGGGGGGAGAATGGTTTTCAATGAATAAGGGGTAAAATTGAAAAATGGACTTTATTAAACAAGATTTCCCCCTTTTCTTTAACTATTTTTTTGACCAAAAATTCATTTTCTCTCCTCCTAAAATAATTATTCTTAATGTCAGAGATAAAACTATAAACAATTGCGCTCCATGCAACTTACTGGAAAAAAATATTAGTACTTGTGGTTTATGAAAATGTATGCTCTTTTCTATTTCTGAAGAGGGAAGGATGGGAAGGGGGGGCGGAACTAGGTTTGTTTTTAAATCTATATCTGGATAGGTGGGTGAGTATCAGTTGTTGAGCAGGGAAGAGAGTAGCCTGGAGATCCTGGAGGAACGGTTCCAACAGTTCCAATGTGAGTTCTGCAGGAGGGTACTCAAGAGTAGAGAGGATGCCAAGGGACACCAGGTAAATCAAAATCAAATTCAAAATATTCTAATCTATTACACTCAAGGCATTTAATTGACCTAAAAAATCCGTATCAACCTTTTTTGTATTCAGTTATAGAACGAGTACTGACCCTTTAGCGATTAAAACAGCCATAACATAACAGTTAGATTTAAAAAAGATCCATAAGAGATTAAAATTAGATTTCACAACTGTTCTAAAATAATGACGATAGTAAGAATAAAATAATGCTAGTGTGAGGGAAACGGGTTTATTTTGAATTTCATTAAGGATTAAGGGTGGAACTCTTTTTCTTAATCTCCAGATTAAATAATGCTTGTTCTTTTATTAATCTTCAGATGAATTAAACGATCTGAGCAGGAAACTTTAGAATGGGATATCCTTAATCCTGATCGGTTAATTAATCTGGAGATTAATAACAACAGGAGAACAAGCATTATTTAATCTGGAGATTAAGAAAAAGATGAGATCAAGCATTATTCTCGATATCCACCATTCTAAAGTTTTCAGCTCAGATCACTCTTGCACCGTTCGGAAATTTTCTTACTGGCAGAAGAAGGATTGTAACTATTTCTTCTCACTTTCAAATACATTTAGTACGTAACTTTTTGTGAAGATTAATCACTAGAGCATTTGAACAGCATTTATTCCTTATTGGCAATCCCATTTTTGGAGGTTTAAATTAGGCAATTTTTGCTACATGTTGATATTAAACTAATTATTGTCCCAGGGTTAATGTATTTAAGTCATGGCCAACAAATAGGAAAAATATTCAAATAAAAATTGTTTGAAATTAAATTACTTGGGGGACAAAAAAATAAATAAAAAATAACATTTTATTTAGGAACAGTGTGGGGGAGGGAAAACAAATATTTGGTATTCATTAATCAGCAACAATAGGTATATTTTTATATATTCAGCATTTATTTATATTCATTAATCAGCAACAATAGGTATATTTTTATATATTCAGCATTTATTTATATTATTTTGTATTTATTTATAACAACAATAGTTAGTTTATAGCCAAATACTCAACATTTATTGATAATTGGCAAAAAAAGGTAAAAACTTATTTTTAAATAGTCACCATCCTAGCTGCAATGTATGTTTCCCACATTATTTAAAGTCCTCAAAATTACATTAACATTTGTGCGTCCTCTTCTGCAGCAGAATGTTAATAAATACTTTTAAATAATGGACATATGGACTCTATGGACTGTCCTATTTCTAGGATGGACATTGAACATCCCCAACAATATCTTATTTAAGAATTAATGAATTGTTTTTATAAATATTTATTCACACACAAAGATATACATTATACAATATACATACATTTATTTAATATAGTCACTTCAATTTTAATGTGTGGGTGTAGGACGTCCCTAAAAGCATGATTTGATTTGATTTGATTTGACATATATATATTTTAATGGTGTAGTTTAAATTTGTTTATGTATCTATACATATAAAGTTGTAAACTCTGTTTGTTTGTCCGATCATGAACCCGTGGACCAATTTGCCTCAAATTTTAATTAGGGTACTCGGGAGACCCACTGAAATGTTCTTAGCTTGGTTTTGATATTCTAAGTTGAGAAGGTCGACTTCAACAGCAAAAATTTAGTTTTCCGGTAAAATCGATTAAGTGCGGGTAATCGGCGGGGGTAATTTTTAGTAACGTGGGCAGCGCTGGGTTCCCAAGCTTGTTTCGAATATATAGTTTTACAAAAGAAAAAATGTGCAAAATGATGCAAAAATAGGCGACATTGATAATTTTTATCATTTCAGTTATTAAGTTATTTTCGAATCCTTCATTCTTATTTAAAAGTTCTTGTAAAATCCGAGTTTTCCATGCATGCTCCAATGGAATATCAAAATTGTTTCTTAACTAACATTTTACTAAGATCAGATAGATTTACAAAACAATCATTTGCAATGGAAAATAAATTTCTGCCAAGAACTGAGCTTTGGTCATTTTTACATAAATTAGTACTCCTTCTTTGAAGGTAAACACTATACGAAAGAATACAGTAAGAACCAGAGAACTCTTGAATTGGAAGACGACTTTTAGACTAAGTTCTGACTTACAATAGTTAAATGAACATGCAATTGTTCAGTGGAAAGAGACCCATTTCACTTAATAGGTAATTTAAATACTATTTCTTTGTAAAAATATCTAATACACTCAAGGTTTGCTTTAATGTCGTCTTCCTATTCCACAGTTTTCTGGTTTTCACTTTATAATAATGCTTAATGCCAGGTTCAAGTGTAAAATGTGCGAGGAGGTGTTTACTCACAAGACAGGGTTAAAATCTCATCTTTCCTACACACATAATCAGGTACTTGTCCCCCCCCCCACCCCTGGAAAATATTGTAAGCCCAGGGGTCCATATAATTCCATCTGATCAATCCCAAATGTTGATTGATTGATATTAGGGGCAGAAATAAACCATGTTGTTATTGTAAACAATTGGAAGTATAAAGTCAAGTTTTAGAAAAAATTCCATACTGCAGTATGTTTATATGTTTATTTTTCTGTATATCATAATTTATCTCTTATATTAAATACTAATATTTACATGTTTAACACCCCAAATGCAGTACACATTTCTAAAGTGTAGTACACGTACACAAAAACTTGTCAAAGTTCACAATGACATGTAAAGTGGTACTTTCATGCCCCTAAATGTACTTTCAACCTCGATCCCATTTGGCATCAGAAATGGAATTATATGGACCCCTGTAAACCGCTCCTGTATTAAATATTCAAAGTGAGGAGACCTTTTAACATAATTTAATTTTATAAATCAAAGGAATCTTTTTGAACACCTTATGATATAATATTATAAACCTTATGCTATAAAATTATAAACCTTATGCTATAAAATTATAAACCTTATGCTATAAAATTATGAACCTTATGCTATAAAATTATAAACCTTTTGCTATAAAATTATAAACCTAATGCTATAAAATTATAAACCTTATGCTATAAAATTATAAACCTTATGCTATAAAATTATAAACCTTATGTTTTTGCAGACTCTACCGTTCGTTTGTCAGGATTGTGGGGACTCATTTATCACTAGTTCAATGATGGAGTTCCACAGGTTTTTGTTTTCTTGTTTTAGGATATTTTCATGTCATTCCATCCTTGAATTAATCAATAAATATTCAAATATTTAATCAGTAAGTATTAAAACATACACTTGAAAATGATACTCATTCATTTATTTGAGTCAGTTCATTTAAACATTTTTAGTAAAATCAAATGGTTTCAATTGCAATTTTCATTTTAATTAATAAATTAAAGTTTTAAAATCTGAGACCTTAGCTCCAATTGTCCGATTGTGCAGTAAAGATAATGAATAATAAATAAATAAATATTGGAGTTGGATAAATATATTTAGCAAAACTCTAAGACATTCATCTCTTTTCAAATAGAATTAATCAAATAGAATTTTCAAATCTTAAATCTTTGCTCCAATTGTGCATTATATTGTGTAAGTGTAAATTTAAGTTACCCTCCATGCAAAGATGTCAACGCCCGCTTCACAGCGGTATCCTTAATACCATAATCTAATCTAAAAGTGGAAGATACCGCCGTTTTCTCAAAATGTGTCTTAATTCTGATAATTTATCTAATACGCTTCCAGACCAGTTAAACATAATGCACATTTTCTGGATAGGCGAAACAGTCATAAACGTCGGCAGAAGGAGACGAAGACTCTGATTGGAAATTATCATCTCAAAGACTACATGACTTATCTTCCAAAGGAAGATGCTGAACCCATCCTGCAATCCTACTTTAGGTCGGTCTGTGTTATTTAATCTTTGAAGCGGGTGACCGGTAATGTATGGTAGTTGAACTGAGAATGTTGAATTGTGGAGAAATTTTTTAGGAATCATTTGAGACCTGTGAGTGGTTTTTACTGTGCATATTTGTTCAACAAGAACTCAAATTCAATCTTTAAAATCCTCAGATTGTTAATTTTTGAGGAATGATTTTGAAAAAAATTATATTTATAAAAATGTTGTAAAAATTCTACAGTTAACTAATTAGTTGTTCAGGAACATGTTGAGAAAATAAAAATCCTCAGAGTTTTCAGACCCTGATAAGTGCAGTGAATTTTTTTTTCACCTTCAATCAGTTAAGTCAGACATTCCTGGCAAAACTGAATACTGCAGATTAGGAAAAAAGAAGATACAATTCACAGAACAAATTCACTGCTCTTTTTAAAATTTTGTTTAAAATTTTCAATTTAAAAATAAATTGTTAAAAAATGAATGAAAAAAGAAATAATTGATTCTAACATTGATTTATTGAGAAAATTTCAATTTCAATTTCAATTTCATATAATTAGTTTACTGTAGATTTTTTAAAAAACATTTTGTGTCATCGTTATTTAATAATGTAAAAAATCGATTCTCAAAACGTAACCACCCAAATTGATGATTTTGATCGTCGACTTTGCACTCAAACTCCGTAAATATACATTATTAAAATGTTTTATGTGTCTCCAATTAACCCTAAAAAATTTCTCGACAACACTACATTCTTGGTTCAACTACCATACATTGCCGGTCACTCCCTATTAAAAATTTGGATTTTTTGGGACACGTTTTTTTTTTTGAGGTTCCATTTCAAAATTTCAAAGAGAGTCTGTTATCAGATTCCTTACCAATTTTTGTGTTTTTTTATTCTTTACGTCAATTTAATTGGGTATAGTAGGTAATGAAGTCGCACAAATTTAACCCTGAACTTCAAAGAATGATGATTAATATCATTATTGCTATTGTTTTAAAGAGAGTGTTCGCGGAAAATTAAAGGGTATAAGTTTACGGCAAAAAATGAGCGCTTTTGGTCGTTACTAATTATTCTTTTATCTGTTGCGTCTAAAAGGAGAAAATTGTTAAAAACGCCTCATGCTGGAGAACGTAGCATCTGTACAAATTCAGAAAGTTGCAACATTCAACTCGGAGCGTATTTGATTCCAAACAAATCATTCAGATATTGCAAGCAATAGTAATCGATTACTTTTCGGCGCATTCGTAAATAGTTAATATTTCATAATATTTTTGATCTTGTTTTTTTAATATCAACTAAATAAGAATGCTTCGAAAAGTTATCGATGATTATTGGTAATATCTGAATGATTTGTTTGGAGTTAAATTGATTTTTTTGCGATCCGAGTTGAATTTTGCAACTTTCTGAATTTGTATGAACGCTACGTTCTTTGGTATGAATCGTTTTAACAATTTTCTCCTTATAGACGCAAGAGATAAAAGTAAGATTAGTAGCGATCAAAAGCGCTTATTTTTCGCCGTAAGCCTATACCCCCTTTTATTTTTCGTGAACACTCCCTTTAATATGATTAAAACTGAAATAAAATCTGTGAGTTTTACAAGAATATGTGTTATCCAAGGAATCCCTTGCATTTTCACAATGTCCTTTAAATTTTTTTATTAAAATTAAGGGTTGGGGCTGATGGCCTAGTCTGCAGAATTTGTGATAAAGTATATTCCGAAGATAGCATCAGGTGAGAAAGTTATTTTATATTGTACTACTACTTTAAAGCACTCTAAGTGTAAGGAAAAAAAGTTTTGATATTCTAAAAGTTAGACTGACTGCATATAATGATAAAAAATGTTAAAATTAATTGATTTAATAAAAAATAATAATTGTATTTTTTTAAATGGAGGATCAGGAGTGGGATACCATTTATTATGCTGATCCCAAGTAAAATCAAGAAGCAAAACATTATCCCAGACATTTTGAACTTTGCACTTTGTTATAAATTTAAGACTTACTTCAGCTTTGATTTAGTTTCGTTCTCTCAGATCTGGAATGTGGAAGTGGCTCAGTTACATTTCATATAATTACACTTGCTATAATTATATTTGATATAAATACAGTTCATATAATGTTACATTTCCTATAAAGTTATACTTCCTACAATAATATTTGCTAAAATTTACATTTCCAAATTCTAAATTGATTTTACATTTATGTATCCACAGTACTAGGGCCCCCTTGCCTGTTCTAGTCGCGGCGCTTGGTCCAGAAATCGTCTTAACCCGACTTGACCCAACATTAGGAGACAGCACATTATTTAACATTTAACCGGCCACAGCTCTCAGCCCCCTAGCTGCAGCACTCGGCCCAGAAATTGTCTTAACCTAACCTAACCCAACATAATGTGTAATTAGGAAATGTAACTTTATTGGATTTGGAAATATACTATAGCAAGTGTAACTATTGAAGTGTAATTATATCAAATGTAATTAAAGTAAGTGTAAATATATGAAGTGTAATTTTATGAGATGTAACTGAGCCGTTTCTTTTGGGTGTTAATTGTTCACTGTTCAGGTCCCACCTACTGCATTCCCATCTGAAGTTGGCATTGTACAACTGTGAACTGTGCAGCATTAAGTTAAAGGATGAAATAGAATACCAGAATCATATTCAGACAGAGCACAATGTTCAGGAACACCTTGATAAAATTCTTTTAATCATTTTTTACTTACCGTACATGATTTTTAATTATTTGATAACTTGAAGTAAAGTCAAATTATTATTATTATTATAAAGATTTATTCACACACAAAGATATAAATACATATATGAATGGTGTAGTTTAAATTTGTTTAAATAAATTTTTTTTGAAAATACAGGTTTCCAAAAGAAAAGAGAAAAAATATGTAAAATTATGCACAAATAGAAAACATTGATTTTTACTCACTACATAACATATTTATCATTTCAGTTATTACATAATCATCGAATCCTTCAACATATAAATTATTCATTCTTGTATTTAAAAGTTCTTGTAAAATTAATCTTGATAATACTGTTATTCATAAATTCTGTAAAATTTGTGTTTGGTCAAACACCAGTGCTTTAAACTAAAAATAGTTTTGAAGATTTATCGTTGTTGACTAGGAGATCAAGACTGTTGAACTACCAGCTGTCAGCTCGGATACAGAGTTTCTGTTTGTTCACGAGGACGGAGATGCCGCGGATTCAGAAACTAACGTGGCATTCGTCATTCATCAGGTAATTTTTTTATCAAGTCATCTTTACCTTTGTCCTCTATACTTCAAATTTATTTTGTATTATATTAAGAATAGGCTTTTTTATGATTAAATAATTAATTTTCTTACTTTAAATTTCTATCCCTGGTCAGTATACTACAAAATCGAATCGTTTACTGTAATAGTGATATAATACAGAGGTAAAGTGGTCGCTGAATTTTCCAATGAATTAACAGGTTCTGAAATTATATTTTATCACCATTTTAGTAACGGACACCGTATTTATATACTGGCCACCATATAAAAAGATTGTATTTTAATTATTTGATTCAGACAGGAGAAAGCCCTTCAAAAATACAACTTGAGCCTGCAACAAACTGCCATCAAGTCTTTAATATAAGGTAAGATAATTCAAACCGTTAAGCATTTTTTGATAAATGTTTCTTTTGACTTACGCATAACTGCATACTGAACTTCTAACCTACTCACGTGTGGTTTTACTGCTGCTTGTTGGACAAGAGGTCGTAGCGCCCGCCATTCCTATATAGGCCTCCTAGTCGCAGTGCTCGGCTCAACAATTGTCTTAATCGTACCTAACCCTCAAATTGTACAAAAAGAACAGCTGTCGTTGGTCGGATTTTGCATTGATGGGAAAGTTAGTATGTCTGAAGTACAGTAGAGGGGATGTTGCGTACAGATGATGTAACATTGACAAAATTTTGAGATAACCAATTATAATTTGAAGGACTGACACTGTATCCAGTCTAAAGGGATGGTACTGCAGCCTAGAAAAAAGTGAAGAAGTTTTAAAAGAGAATATTCTAAAACCCGGCAGACAACTAGTTTGTAAACTATGCAATAAGGAAAGAAAACTTTTAAGATAAAGATCCTAAAACATCCTAAAATAAAAATCGACTGTAAATATATTTCTTTACAAATTTTTTCCACTCCTCTAAAAAGCAATTTATCCGCGTAATATTTTTTTGGAACTGAGGTGTTTTATGCTTTTTGTCTTTAAGAGACAAAATTGATTTTTTTGAGTTTATTGATAAAAGCTAAAAAAAGTTTTTATTTTTTTACATAACGGGGGGTTGTTAAAATATACCTTAGATTAAAATTCGGGATCTTTATGAAAAAGTGTTTTTTTTTTAACACCAGGAATGGAGCAGTAAAAATTTTAACCTAGCCAGGGAACACATTTTTGACCATTTCAACCTGTATTTGTACAAATGTGACATTTGTGATACACTGTTCAAGAAAGAAGAGCACTTGACAAATCACAGGAAAACCCACAGAGCAGAAGAGGAGGAGGAGGGGGATGAGAAACCATTTGGAGACTTTCACCAGCTCTCCCAGCCTGTTTATATTCCTTGGAAACAGGCTAAGCCTCTCATAGATGCCTACTTCAGGTGAATATGTAAATAAAGTCAGTAACTACTAGGAGTCTAGCAATACAAGAGTATATTATTTAGGAAGGATGAGGAAGGAAGGTGTTGGTGTAAGCTGTGTAACTACTAGGAGTCTAGTAATAAAAGAGTATATTATATAGGAAGGATGAGGAAGGAAGGTAGGTGTAGGCTATGTAACTACTAGGAGTCTAGCAATACAGAGTGTATTATTTAGGAAGGATGAGGAAGGAAGGTGCTGGTGTAGGCTATGTAACTACTAGGGGTCTAGTATTACAAGAGTATATTATATAGGAAGGATGAGGAAGGAAGGTGCTGGTGTAGGCTATGTAACTACTAGGGGTCTAGTATTACAAGAGTATATTATATAGGAAGGATGAGGAAGAGAAAGGTAGGTGAAGGCTATGTAAGTACTAGGGGTCTAGTATTCCAAGAGTATATTATATAGGAAAGATGAGGAAGGAAGGTGCTGGTGCCGGCTGTGTAACTAATAGGGGTCTAGTATTACAAGAGTATATTATATAGGAAGGATGAGGAAGGTAGGTGCTGGTGCCGGCTGTGTAACTACTCGAATAAAGAATCCAGGATTACAGGAATATATTATATAGGAAGGATGAGGAAGGAAGGTGCTGGTGTAAGCTATGTAACTACTAGGGGTCTAGTAATTCAAGAGTATATTATATGGGAAAGATGAGGAAGGAAGGAAGGACGGTAGGTGTGGCTATGTAACTACTAGGAGTCTAGTATTACAAGAGTATATTATATAGGAAGGATGAGGAAGGAAGGTGCTGGTGCCGGCTGTGTAACTACTCGAATAAGGAATCCAGGATTACAAGAGTACATCTTCTCACACATCATCTTAAAATGAATATTTATCAATGCCAGGTATTCTCTTCGAACTAACATTTTATCGCCTCTCTCTGCCAAACAATCACTATTCTCTTTTACCCTTATAAGAATCAAAAGATTCAGTTTAACTGTTCAACAACAAATTTATTTGTAAGACTTGCTTGCGTGGATTTAGAAAAATCTCTCTCTTGCGTTTTTTGGCACCATACACAGTTTTTTGAAGGATATGTTATTTAGGAGTGTCTAGAAGAGTTCAAGATTGAACAGAATATCAGGAAACATCTGAAGGATGAACATGATCTAGAGTTTGAAGGTCTAGAGAAGCTGGAAGATCCCGAGTATGAGAACTCTGAAACTGAGATCGATACTGAAGATATCAGGAAGGATTGCGTTTCATAAAAAATATGATTAATCTCGAACTTCTGTGATCAAATTTATTTATTACGTATTTGAAGTACGTAGACTAAGTTTAACTGCATTTCCCTTTAAAATAAATCGGTTTTAATTGGTTTAACTTAGACTGCGTAGTTCAACTACAATTCTCGCTATTTATAATTTGTCCCTGAGTACAGCAATAAACATTAACTTTTACTAAGAGGAAAAAACTAATATTAAATTAACTTCCCGGTAAAACGGTTATAAATACCTGACTTGTATAAAACGACTCCTTTAGAACGGTTGATATAAAGGACCTGCAGGGTAAGAAGATATCAGTGGCCCAGGGGCGAATCCTTCGTAAACTTCATATCTCAAGAAATATTACGGAACGAGTATTTGAGTGCCAGCTTTGCGGAGAACGAAAGGAAACTTTACGGTCATTTTGAAAATGTTTTGAATCTTCTATTAAAATTAAATCAAGTTATATATTTAGCCATAAATTATATAATATTTGTAAACATTGATATGTATAATTACAGCCGTTGATTACAGTTTATGGGAGGGTGACGGAACTAGCCGAAGCTGTTTTCAGACGGTCTCCCGTACAGACAGTCCTCATAAAAAAATGTATCTTGAAAATGTTCACAAAATTAGATTTAGAAAGGTTGAAGCTCCTGACTAAGAGAGGGTAGGGTTTCTCTAAGTAGTCTGGTGGCTGAAAATTAGCATTTAAAATAAAAGCTATGATTCCTGGATGAAAAGATCCGCAGGCTGGTCAAGCGAGAAACAAAGCAATAATTGGGAATTAAGTATTTGAGCAACTGAAACAATAAAGTTTTTCACATCTAAAGGTCGAACATTTATCAAGCAAGAATTTATTAACACTAAGTTTAACCCAAGCTTACTCTCAATTTGTTTTATATCGGGCTTAAAATTATTCCAAAACAAAATAAATCTAAAAAAGAAAATTTGTTAAAGAAATCATTAAGGACCCTTGGTAGAAAAAAAATCATTAGCATGTTTAAGTGGATAAGGGTAATCCGTTAGGGCTGAATTTTTTAGAACAAAACACCCGTCGTAATTAACAGTAGAATATTGCTGATCTATAAAATGCATAATTAATAATTGCTGTTGAATTATTAGGTCAGGAAGAGGAAAAATATCTAATGAGGGAAGGTTGAGAGTGAGAATTGTACAGATTAAGCTGTAAAATTATGTAATAAACAACATGTTTTCGATAAGATTTGAAGACAGTTTAAAATCCTATTAAGTTCCTGTCCTTAGTTTTGTATAAATTCACAAAAAGTATTTGTTTACAAATGCAGTACGAATTGTTTTCAGATGTACACAATAGCATGACGTCCAATGACGCCTTGTCTATACTTTAGATCAAAGATGACATCATGTCAGCAAATTATGAAATTCCGTGCTTTTCTATAGTAGTTACTCAATTATATTACTGCTACTGAGCCTTTTATCATCAAACCTGGCACTAAATTCAATTATTATTAGAAAGAAGTATTTGAATCACACAGACTAAGCATGAAGTATTTATCAGGTCCAGGTGCACAGATTCAACTTTGTCTGCGTAGTTCAACTACTTCTGAAATTTCGTCCCTGATTGACCGTAAAGCTATGTTAAGGAGAGTTTATCCAATTGTTCTGATCACGTGATGTCTGCTCATCTAAACGTCTTTATCTACAGATGTTCAGTCTGTTCTAAACTAATAAGGAAATCTTCATTCGTCCGGGTATTCTCGCGGTTGTGTTTATTATCCATGATTAATGTCAAATTGTGGAAAAACACTTGTAGATAAAGTTTTAACGTTCATAGAATTTTGCGTTGTCTTTTATTATTAATAACAAGAAAAAAAAGTTTATCCACAACTTAAGAAATCCCCAACTCAACATTTTAACTTGTGCTTTTAATAATTGTAAAATGAAATTAAACCTCTTAATGTAATGCTGATTGTTCAGAAACTGGAGTATATACTCTAGACACAGAGCTAGTCACGACCGTCCCAGCCGGAAAGCTGGGATTCGGCGCAGTCAGCTGCATAGAGCCGATCAGTCTGACAGCGGTCAACCCGGGGATCTGCAGATCAAGACAGAATATCATTTACTGGAGCAAGATCTTTTTGTAGGTAATTGAACTTTTTATTTTACGATCTATATATAAGTATTTCTTTTCTCTGTAAAACAAACAAGTTTTTAAGTTTTTGTATAACCTGACCTCTACTTTGCCATTTGACCTTTTTTTCTAGTTTTTTTTCATCCTTTCCTTGTTTATTACAGTTGTTTCCTTTGCTTTTTTTCTTTAATATTCTTGTAAAACTTAAAAACTTTTGTATACAGATTTTAGATAAGATTATGTATGTCCAATGTCCATCATCAAAGTCTTTGAGACAAATTTCATTTTCCAATCCCTATATCTTTGTAACCAAATGTCGTAGACCTTAGATATTTAAAACTAGGTCAACTAACTCAGGTTTAATATGTGAAAGGTTTACACCATCAGGTTGCAAAGATATAGTGATAAGACTTCGAGCATTTGAGTTTCCTTTCCATTTTTTGAACTTTAATGAAAGCGAAGATTTAGATTTAAAAAACATTTTTAGATCTTAACAATAGTTTCCCTAACCTGCTCTGCCAACCGAGTCATTTTATTTTCATTTTTCAATGTAAATATTTCCCCCGAATTATTGCTATTTTTAGGAGTTTGTCTTATACTATATAATACAGACAAAAATATTAAATCCTAAAACAATTAAATAAAATATATTTCTATCCTAGGATATGAAGAGGGTATGAAGATAGTTTACGAGTATATAGAGCACATTGGAAACAAGAATTATAAATGTAAAATGTGTGAATTCACCAGTCTCAGTCAGGGGGTAGAGACTCATGTCTTCTCGAAGCATCTTCCGAAGCTTTATCTTTTCAAGTAAACAAGTTTTTTAATAAAAGTTTTCTATTTTTTTTTCAATATGAGCCTTACATTTTCGAAGTAAAAAGATTTTAAACTTTATAACAAAAAGTGGTATTTATTCCCCCCCCCCCCACTTAACAATAAGCTTATTTAAATTCCTTAATATTTGGGAGGAAAATTCACTTAAAGTGGGTAGGGGAAAATTTACTTCAGAAGGGGGGGGGGAGATGATTTTAAAAAAATCTTCATTCATGTTCGTATGATCTGAACATGGTGCTCTAGATGTGATGTGTGTGCAAAAATGTTCCGATATTCTAAATCAATGTTCAAGAATCACATGGAGCTCCACACTTCAGGGAAACTGCCCTGTCCAATATGCCAGGTATGAAACATCACTGATAGTTGATAGTAGATGGTTGTTTGGTTGTTGGTTAGTTAAATGGTCGGTTGGTCACTTGCCATTTGGTTGGTTGGGTTAATAGGTTATTGGTTGTTCAGTTCGGTGATTAAAGTTTTGGTTGTTTGGGTTAATAGGTTATTAGTTGTTCAGTTAGGTGACTATAGTTTTGGTTGGTTGAGTTAATAGGTTATTGGTTGTTCAGTTCGGTGGTTAAAGTTTTGGTTGTTTGGGTTAATAGGTTATAGGTTGTCTAGTTTGGTGGTTAAAGTATTGTTTGGTTGAGTTAATAAGTTATTGGTTGTTCAGTTTGGTGATTAAAGTTTTTGTTGGTTCGTTAAAAGCTGGTTTGGTCCATCAAATAGTTCGATGGTAAAATTGTGACTTGATTTTTTTCCTTTCTGTATATTTTTTGTAAATAGGAGATGAATTTAAACCCCGAGAAAAGGTTCACGAAGGAGAGCTTGGCCGCCCACAACAAGAGGTTCCATAAGGAGGGGGAGTACATCTGCAAGGTATGTTAAGGATTAGTTATCATTTGTTTTTTTATTTACCAAGAAAATGAATATTGAATTTTTTTAGTTTATTTTTCTGTTGTTTTTTGCGTGTTCTTTTTTTTTATCTGAAAATAAACTTTTTTGATTAGGTTGAGACTTGTTCTGGTAAGTTTGAAAGTCCTGCGCATCTCCGGGTACACGAGAGAACTGAGCACTTCCTGGGTTTACCCCAGAGAAATTTCCAGTATATGTGCCAGATCTGCAACCATACTTTTAGGAAGAGTTCACAAATGGAATCCCACTTAAAAAGCTGTCAGGTTGGTACATTCATTTTATTTCTTAAACAGACAGTAGACACCAGGGCTCAATATTTTTGAAAATAAAAAGTTATGACATACGGGGATCCCAACAAAGGACGAGACTTAAATTACTACCTATAACGTTAAAAATTTACTGTATTTTGTTTTCTACTTGCATAATGCAAATAGTTTGTATATCATGCTCTACGTGATTTGGCAAAGCAGTTTACAGTTGAGAGGGACAAAATATCAAGAAAATTCCGTGCAGTCTTCTTCAAGTCTCATTCGTTGTGCGTAACCCTGTAAATTATGGTTCTTTCGCGTTCAAATTGCGGCGTGTTAAGTGGTTTTACCTTTCAACAAGCAATATTTGTTTTATTTTTAAGTGATTTATGCAAGCCCAAGCCAGCTCTATATCCTCTAATACATCTTTTTTAATACAATAATAGAGCTCGTTAACTTCATATAAATCATTTAACCTATTTATGTTAGAACAATCAGTTAAAAAATAATCCTAACTTCTAATTGGTCAAAGTTACAAATTTCAAGACCTTGTATTGGTCGAATCCATAAACTTAGGCCTGATTCGTCAATTGTCATAGAAGGTATTAAGATTAAAAAACTGTAATATTTGCAATGATCAGGCTGGGCGGAGTAGAACGTTATTCAGACAACGGATAGCAGATTCACTTACCTGGGAAGGAAACGGTGTTTATAGGTCAGTATTTATAAATGAAAAACTAGAGGTAAGAACTTTTGAAATACCTCCTTTATTATTATGATTTGCTAGGCTGCAGAGTTAAATCAATGTCGAAAATAGCTCAAGTGCGTTTCCGAGTTCTTGCAATGGACAGGAGCAAATCTTTTTAGCTTCTAATTGATCGATGTTTTGAGCATTTTTAGAGATATCAAAAAGAAATCAATATAATCCATTGGACCACGGAAGATATTAATCAGTGCTTTCCGAAAAAAAAAAATAATAATAAAGTTCTCACCGTAGTTGGATAAAAATATCTGATAAAAATTTAATTTTGCGAATGATTATAAACCTATCTAACCTTCCTCAATCAATATTATTTAGTTGCAATATGTGTGGAGAAAAGTTTGAGCCCCCTCGTCCCTCTGCCAGTAGTCTACCTAATGCCCGGAAACACGTGGTTCTTGTTCATAAGAAAACTCATCTCAGGTACTTTAATGTTTTTTTTACTCAGAAGTGCTGTCAACAAATCTGCACATACTTATATTTTAACATTGAGATCCATAAAACTTTGTAATTCTCGTTGTCTTAAAGGGAGTGACCGGCTATGTATGGTAGTTGAACCGAGATTGCAGTACTATTGAGAAATGTGATAGGATTCATTTGAGACCTATCAGACGTTTTTCCGGTGCATATTTGTTCAGCAAGAGTGCAGGTTCAATATTTAAAATCCTCATAGATTGTCGAGGGATGATTTTGAGAATTGGTTTTTTTTAAATTATTTAAAAACGACGAAGAAAAATGTAACAAAAATTCTACAGTTAACTAATTTTATGTTTAGGAACATATTTTCTTTAGAAATTTGCTAATAAATCAATGTTTGAATCAATTGTTTCTTTTTCATCTATATATTGATTTTCTTTTTCTTTATGAATGTGTTTGCAGATTTATTAAAATTCTTCAAATGTCGTATTTTCATTAAAAATTCTAGGAAATCTACAGAAACTGGGTTTGAACATTGAGATATTACAGAAACCAATAAATGAATACGATTACTTATTTTCGATGAAAAGAGTTAATTTTTATTTTCTCTACCTGTTCCTAAACAACTAATTAGTTTATTGTAGAATTTTTTTTTACATTTTTCGTGGTAGTTATTACATAATTAAAATAAACCCGATTTTCAAAATCATCCCTCCCAAATAAACAATCAATCCATGAGAATTTTAGATATTGAATTTGCGCTCTTGCTGAACAAATTTGCACCGTAAAAACTTCTGATAGGTCTCAAATAAATCCTAAACAATTTCTCAAAAATACTGCAATCTCAGTTCAACTACCATACATTGCCGGTGACTCCCTTTAATTTTACCTTATACTAAGGAAGATCGCAAAAGAATTTTTAATTTGCAATACCAATACTTCATTTCTTTGCTCCTCAGCATAATCCTTGAATCGTGGATTAAGCCATCTTTAACAGATTACTTTATAAATATGTGTTCAGTCATTTAAATAATCCAAGAAGTGCCTTATTAATATATTCTTTACTTGAATGCCACACAAAGAAAACCCTCTATACAAGGCATTGATTTGTAAAATTATAGCAAAGAGAAATTAAATTTGTACCAATAACAGAGATAAAAATATTAAAAATACGTAATTTTTTTCCTAAGCAATCTGGAAACAAAATAAACGTCAAATGTCAAGCTTTTTAAAATTGGAATTTTGTACTTTGAAAATAAAAGTTTTTGTTGAGGAATTTTTTTCATATTTTCATTTATAGAAAAACGAAGATGTCTTGGACGCAAGGTGTAGAGGGACTAAACCCGGAGAAGAAAGCGTCCAGGAGGAGAAGGAACATGAACCTGGAGAACACGGAGAATGAGGAGAAGAACTTAGATGAACCGACCTACATCATTCCTGAACAAATACCAAGTTATCAGGAAGTGGTAATTCAATCACAACCTTAACCAATAAAGTCTTCCATCCAATCCTAATTTAATTTATTCATGCAAAAATTAGTTAATTTTTTCCATAATTATGTTTCAGAAAAATTAGTTAATTTTTTCCATAATTATGTTTCAGAAAAATGTTACAATTAAGAAATGATGAGCTTCACAAGGTTCTTATGCCTATTCTTGGAGATTTGTGGGACAACAATAAGGTAGTTTAGCTAGACATTGCTTGTTTATGTTTAGGTTTAGGTTTAGGTTTAGGTTTAGGTTTAGGTTTAGGTTTAGGTTTAGGTTTAGGTTTAGGTTTAGGTTTAGGTTCATGTTTAGGTTTAGGTTTAGGTTTAGGTTTAGGTTCAGGTTTATGTTTATGTTTATGTTTATGTTTGACTGATTCAGAATTTTATACCCATTACCCATTACTCTTAAAAATCTAAGTTTTTAACTGTGGTTTTCATACAAGTTACTTGCAGATTTCTGACGCAGAAATAAAGAAGCAAAATAAAGAATTGTGAAAAATGAGAAAAACACTTAGAAGTTTATAAATTGCGACATCTTTCACATTTTTTAAAGGGCACCGTTGTAAATCTTGCAATGAAGGATCAGTTAAAATTACAAAAACAGTCTCGTAAAACAGTCTCGTAAAACAGTCTCGTAAAACAGCCTCGTAAAACAGCCTCGTAAAACAGTCTCGTAAAACAGCCTCGTAAAACAGCCTCGTAAAACAGTCTCGTAAAACAGTCTCGTAAAACAGCCTCGTAAAACAGCCTCGTAATACAGCCTCGTAAAACAGTCTCGTAAAACAGCCTCGTAATACAGCCTCGTAAAACAGTCTCGTAAAACAGCCTCGTATAACAGCCTCGAAATACAGCCTCGTAAAACAGTCTCGTAAAACAGCCTCGTAAAACAGTCTCGTAAAACAGCCTCGTAAAACAGCCTCGTAATACAGCCTCGTAAAACAGCCTCGTTAAACAAAGTTACTTTTTCTTAATTGAATGAAGTGACTGAAAAAAATGAGAAAAACACTTACAAGTTTATAAATTGCGACATCTTTCACATTTTTTAAAGGGCACCGTTGTAAATCGTGCAATGAAGGATCAGTTAAAATTACAAAACAGTCTCGTAAAACAGCCTCGTAAAACAAAGTTACTTTTTCTTAATTGAAAGCGGGAATGAAGTGACTGACAGTGCGTCCTAATAAACATGGAAATCAAGTGACTATTTAAAAATCGTTCCTTTAATTAATAGATGACAAAAATTGTATGTTTTATGATCTTCCGAAAAAAATGGTCGACCTTCTTCGTGTCTTTAAAAATTGACGGAGATATTAAACATATGAACCATTTGTTTTATAATTATGAAACCAATATTCTTGTTTTTAGTTTCTAGACGGAGTGTTTACATGTTGTGATGGTGTGGTTAGGTTCTCCAGGTTCCTGGTCTCCTGCTACAGCTCCAGGTTGGAGAACCTTCTCAGGACCGTGGAGGAAAACGTGGAGACTAATCTGGTAGTCAAGGACTTTAGGTAGTTAGAAACCGAACCATTTGTTCAGAGATGATTTTATCCTTGATCTATACCTCCAAGGGACATCTTTGAAATTTTATGTTCTCTTTATCAGATTTTTCTCTCACTTAGAGAGGTTTAATGCTTTTCTTGAATACAATTTAAAATGTCAATTAAAGCTGTTTAGACTGATACATAAAAGAGAACTATGTGACTGTTCTCTCGTACAGATTTTTTTTCAGAAAGGGCTGAGGGGTTAATTAAGTTTAAGAAAACTTACATCTTTGAATTTTATGTGAAAAACGAAACATTTACAGACAAAAAATTCTGTAATTCCTTCCTTAAAACTTATTCTAATAATATATCTTGTGCAGGGTAAGTGTGGTGAGGGGGGTGGTAAGGTTGTTGCACGGTTGCCCGGAGGTGTTCTACACCTTGCAAAACCAGGAGACAAAGGAGTTTATTAGAATACTTGGAATAGAACTCAGGTATCCCTAGTGTACATTGTACAAAATACATTAATAATTTCTATTGTAATTCGTTGTATTTTCTTGTGTAGACCCCCCATAAATAAGTTAATATCACCTCTACATTTTACAGGGGAGACAATGTCACTGAATTCACCAACTTCAAGAAACGAAAGGAACCAAATGACTAGATAAAACATTTAACACAGAAATATTTTTGATTGTAAAGATTGCAGGCCTCGTCTTATATCTTAATATAGATCTACAGAAAAAAAGATAAAATAACTTAAGAAAAAGCTAAAATACATTTTTAAATTGCCCCCCGCCCCCTTTACACTTTTTTATGCCAAAAACTTGACCCTAATTGCTTGGTTTAAGTTTGAGGAGGATGATGATGTAATCATCACGTTTGATGAGAAGAAAGAATATAAAACAGGACGGATACAGACTAAACTCAGAACCCCGTATCATACTAGACGATACACTGACTGGGGGAATAGGCAGGGCTAAATATATTCTACACAAAATTAACCCTTTTAACATTATTTAACGGTTAGAATCGACTTGTCAAAGTTTTGATATCCATGGGAATTCTTTTTTTTGTGAAATATGTAATATGTATCGGACTAAAAATATCATTTGTTCATTTTGAATCTTTTTGAGTGTTAGTTTATGATTAGAACATTGGAGGCTCAATTTTTTTTTAGAGTAATAATGAAAATAATCATGTTTAATTGTTGAAGTATTCATTTCTAACTCAAAAATTTTATTTTAGAATTTTTGGTTAACAAATTATAATTTTGTTTGTTTGCGAATTACAGTAAATATTTGCCTCTGGATACAAGGAGTCCACGCCGCCAGTCGGAGGAGAAGAATTCTGATTTTACATTTGTCCGAGTAAATTATGAGAAAGCAGAGATCAAAACGGAAATTGAAGAAGAACCTGAAACTAACCTTGAGATTGATATTGATGCTTGTGTTGATGATTTTGCAGATGAATCTGATCCTGACTATTATATTCCAGCTTCCAAAGTGGAGAATGAGGCTGAAGGAGAAGAAGTTCAAGGATTAAACTTACTTCGTGAGGTAGGTTTTAGGAAAATGGACATATGGAAATGCAGGACATTAGTATTTTTATAAACGGAAAACTGAAAACACGTGTTTTGTAAAATCAGTAAAAATATTTATTAATGCATGATAATATTTCTTCTAAAAAATAAAATTGTACGGTACTAATTGCAAATATTAACTTCTTAACAAAATAATGCATTGTTTTTGTTTAGGACGAAGCTAAAGAGATTGCTGCATCCTTCATGGATAAGCAGAATACTGGGAAGTATCTCTGCACCTTCAACTCCTCCTGCAGGTTTACCAACTCCAGTCTTCAGATCTTACAGGATCATGTTCTCAAACATCTGGATATAGTCATTCAGCAATGTGATCACTGTGGATTCAAAACTAGAAAACAATCTGATTTGGATAAACATATGAGAACTAATCATTTGACAGGGTAAGTTTTTATTAAAGGTAAATAATGAATATGAAATGAATTTCTTTCATTAACTTACTATTTAGGAACCTAGAAGTTAAATCTAGTTTGAACTCTAATAAAGAAGAAACTTCTAGGTTTCGGAGATCTGTTAGAAACAAACAGAAAATCAACCGATCGGAGACTGGTGAATCTGAAGGGATACAGGATATGATGAAGGAGGAACGGGAGGGTCAAGATAGTCAAGAGGATCATGAGGATCAAGATAGTCAAGAGGATCAAGATGGTCAAGAGGATCAAGAGGCTCAAGATAGTCAAGAGGATCAAGAGAATCAAGAGGCCCAAGAGGATCAAGAGGATCAAGATGGTCAAGTGGACCAAGAGGACCAGGAGGATCAAGTTGAACTAGTGATAGAACCGATCTCTGTTGACGGAGATAAATATTCAATTAATAGTTTTGGTAAACACACTTTGTAAACCCATGTACATTATAAAATGTGTCCTAACATAAACATTTTTATATTTATTTTAGGTGAGATATTAGTGTTGGAAGGGCATGCCAAAGACCTTGCCTCAAAATACTTAACAAGGTAAAAAAAATTTAAATAGTTGCATTTTGAAGAAAATACACTTTTTCTATTTTGAATCACAATCCGTGAAGAATATTTACAATTTCTTTTGTATCAAAGCAAAAGTTAAACCTTTTGAATTTTACTGGAGTCTTAAAATGTTTCATTTTTTTCATTTATAGTTAAAAAGCCTTATTTTTTCATTGACTGCAAATTGCAGAAGCAAAGAATCCTAACTAAGAAACTTTTTATTCTCCTAGAGAGGAAATGGAGTTTACCTGTCTTCTCTGCCACCGGTTCCAGAAGGATCGGAGATTTGAAGACGAGGAGAAGATTCTAGTTCATATCTTTAAACACCTTAACATATATAGTCTACAGTGTTCCAGCTGCCTCAGAGGGTTTAGGATGGGTTCAGAGTTAGCTCAACACCAGCAGATATGCTCCGACCAGGTTTGGCAGTATTTTTATTATTTTTAGTATCATTCACGCTAGTTTAAGTTTGTTGTTTAATGCATGGTCAATGGTCAATGGTCATGTAGAAATGGCTCATTTTGTTCGCATGTTTTTATTTCCAGATTTAGGAACCAAAAGATACGCCGAAGGCGCAATTTATTTTGACTTTCCTGTTTTGCACTAGGTTTTCTTTCCCTTAAGTGCTATTGAGAAGCTATTCTGGAATCTCAGGGGGGGATACGCCCCCCACCCCTTTCGGTCAGGAGGTGCGAAGGTCCTGCCGCCTTCCCCTATCCGCCCCTGTTTACAAATTACCTTAAATCTGTTCCATTTGGTGCAAAGTTTTTTTTTATTTATAAAGAAAGCCCTTTCGTGCCTAGTTTTTTATTATTAGAGGTATCTTATAAACTTTCATTTAAGGATGATGGTTTAAGTGCAGAGAAGTTTATAAATAGTCCAGTTCAACCTGTTTCAACAATAAACAAAAAGGCGGTCTTTATGACAGAGAAGAAAGCACAGAAAATTATATCATCTTACGTGATATGTCAGGATAACGAAGGTTTGTTGACTTTAAATAATTTTTGAACTTTTTGTTTTCAACTTTAGAAAAAGAAACCTTTTACAAAGAATTGAGATTCATCTGGAATTTTCTTTAGTAAAACGATGATTTTTATTTAGCTTCTGGAACAAAGGATTACACTTGTGGGCTCTGCGACTTTAAGTGTCCCCAGGAGTCGACTGTTACAGAACACGTGGCACTGCAGCATCTCAATATATTCCAGTTCAAGTGCGCACATTGCGGCATTAAGTTTAAATTGAGGTTGGTGGGACATCTTGTTTTTGAAGAAGTAAAATTATCTTTACTTTTGTTGTTCCTAAATGATTTTTATATTTTTAGAACACAGCTGGAGAACCATGAGAGGGAGAAACACAGGTTAAAGATGTTCCCGGAGTTGAAGAACGAGGACGGATTTGAGCAGGACAACCAGCAAGGAACTTTGGTCCTGGTTAAGGAGACTCGAATACAACAAGTAGGAGTGAGTTTTAAGCATAGATAAATAAATAAACATAGATAGCTTATGTACGCAAAATCACCAAGAATTGTACAGTCCGCGAACTCATACTTCTAGGGGTCAAACTGTACTTCAATGATAAGCGGGGTGGTTTGGTGTTTTAATGGATTTCATAATAGAGTGTAAAATAACTCCGGGAATGGAACTATTTGAACAACAATATTTCACTGAGCCATATTGACGAGAACTGAAGAAGGACATGAGAAGGACTAAATTAACTTAAATTTCTCTCTACAGAACTCATGTACACCACAAGTACTCAATGACATAAGAACAGCCAATGTTCACAACCGGCCTAGTTAATCTATATAATAGGAATATCTTTAAAACATCTCAGTACATTTATATCTTTCAAGATAAAAAATGTCGTCTTATGCGCAATCTATCTTTATCTATGGTTTTAAGTGATTTCAAATGACTGGACTCCATTTTAAAAGTTTACTTGCCTGATTCACAACGGTATCCTTTAAACCTTTGAATGAGTAATAATGAACAAACAAGAGGATATCCATAATTTCTGCTGAGACATAGTTCCGTTGATAGTCGAAAATGTAACTCTTACAATGGATGGTCACTTGAATATTTAGTCAATAGTCCCGTTAACAAAGCCATGGGTTGGAATAAAAATCAGAGGATTTACAAATAAAACGGTTTGTGGAATACATGGGGACAGAAAAGACAAAGACTACAGAAGACCTAAAAGAATTTTAAAATGTTCCAGTTTGAAGAGAGGAATGACGAAGATGATATGAATATTTCCATGAATGAGTTTCCATACCTGGAAAACGGATTTCTTGGGAAAACCACCCATGGAGGAACAAAGTTGGTGAGAAAACAATAAAATTAAAATATTAAAATTTGTTACAGTGTGATGTAGAATACACTTGATCTCTTGTTTTCAACTAAAGTATTTTAATAATTGTTTTGAACAGCTCCTTTCAGGAGCGTATACATGAATTTGTCCACTTTTGTATATATGAATTTGTCCAGCTTTGTATACATGAATTTGTCCACCTTTGTATACATGAATTTGTCCAGCTTTGTATACATGAATTTGTCCACCTTTGTATACATGAATTTGTCCACCTTTGTATACATGAATTTGTCCACCTTTGTATACATGAATTTGTCCACCTTTGTATACATGAATTTGTCCAGCTTTGTATACATGAATTTGTCCACCTTTGTATGCATGAATTTGTCCACCTTTGTATACATGAATTTGTCCACCTTTGTATACATGAATTTGTCCAGCTTTGTATACATGAATTTGTCAACCTTTGTATACATGAATTTGTCAACCTTTGTATACATGAATTTGTCCACCTTTGTATACATGAATTTGTCCACCACACATGAATTTGTCCACCTTTGTATACATGAATTTGTCCACCTTAGTATACATGAATTTGTCCACCTTTGTATACATGAATTTGTCTTTGTATACATGAATTTGTCCACCTTTGTATACATGAATTTGTCCACCACACATGAATTTGTCCACCTTTGTATACATGAATTTGTCCACCTTAGTATACATGAATTTGTCCACCTTTGTATACATGAATTTGTCAGCCTTTGTAAACTTTCCAGGAGTGGGGGTGGGCCTAACCTCCTTTGGGGATTGAAAACCCCTTGGGATTCATAGTTTTCAGTTGTCCAGGGAGGGGTTCAGCTCCAAGGTCCTGACTCCTCATAAAACTCTGCTGCCTGATTCCAGGTTTATGTGGAAGGATCTGAGTATCCTTTGACCAGGCCAACGAAGAGCACCTTGATGAAGATCATGAAGGCTAGGCTGGTGAGCAAGGAGGAGGGGAACAGGCTGGTCGCCACCTCATTCCTTCATAATATTCAAACCAAGAAGTATGAATGCACACTCTGTAACGGAGTATTTCAGGTACTTTTCCCATTAGTGTTAGCATCAATCTAATATAAGCGATTAAACAACAGTTCATCAAGAAAAGGAACTGAATAATTGCCTCAAACTCTGTTCAACCTGATGCTTTATCTATCAAACTTCGGTATAGCAGAATTTATAGTTGTAACTTAAAAAGTAAAGTAGAAATATTAAAGGTCAACGACATCAGGTTGCAAAGATTTAAGGTTTAGAAAATTTAAGTTTGAGGCAAGTAATCAGTTTCTTTTCTTATGAAAAAAATAACTAAAAAACAATGCAAAAATTGGTTAAAAACTATTGTATGAATTTATTAATTTATTTTAATAGACTTTTTTAAACTAATAACAAAACGGATAAAGTAACTGCTAATAAAAAAGATGAATTAATAACCTAACGAACTTATAAACTGTTCTTATGTTTAGGCGGATACTATAACACTAATACAAAGGCATTTGTATGAACACATGAACCTTTATGTTCATAAATGTGAACTATGTGGAGATGTATTCAGGAATAAAAAATATATTTCCAAGTTTTTTTCATAAATAGATTTTAAAACATTTCTTAAATGCACCTGCTTAGTATAAATAATAGAAACGTTGAATATTCAACAGGCCTGAACCTTGATATTTAAATACCCTGGAGTGGAGGTTGACGTAATGGGGAGAAACGTAGTCAACGCTTGTGAGACTAAAAAAGATGATCTGTTTGGCTTGAGTTTACGATCTATCTTGATTTTAAGCTTACGATCATACTTATCATACTTTTATGTGTGCACTAGGGTAATGTTAGATTAGCTAGTGCATATATTTTAGGCTGTGGTAAGGTACACCTGGATTTTGATCCTGCCACGCCTCCTGGTGGTATCTCCATTCTGTGTTTTGGAGGCCGGGGGGGGGGGGCCTTTGTGTGCTTAACCCCGTGGGCGGTCTGCGTCTCCCATATCGGGGAGAGGGGGGGGGGAAGGGTTATAGATTTAACCTTTTAATTCTTAATCTAAATTCGACATTGTATTAAACCATTTATACTAAAGATGAAATTGGAAAATTGGCTTGTTTCAGTTTTTAGTAAAGTCACTTATTTTTTTAGGCGTTCCTAAAATCCTGATTTAATTTAAAAGCATAAAGACCTTTTTAAAGCTTTGTCGCTTGAATACTGAGTCATTAACATTGTTTTCTTTTGTTAAATTGTTTTTCCCATCTTGAAATATTGTTATCAGGAACGTAGCACAGTTCAAAGAGCACAAGGAGATGCATAAGAAAAGACTAGAAGAAAAAGAGGAGGAGATTAAAAACTTTAATTCGTCTCAGGGATTCATGTTGAAACTTTGGTTAAAATTTTAATTTGTTACAATTGACTTTTTTGGGAAAAGTCCAATAAAAATCTGAAATATCTTTCTGTTCTGGGTGTTTCAGATACTGTTTGATTTCGTACATTATTAGTTTAAATTGCTTTAAAGTTAAAGATTTACACGTTTTTAGTTCTCTCAGACAGTAGACACTTATTAGTGGATTTCTGAGTGATCACAGTGTTGTATAACATATTACACTAGAGTTTTGAGGTGAAATTCTTGGACAGATTTCAGTTTTATTAGACACCCAAAAGGAAGAAGATATCCCATGGAATTTTAAGGAATATTGATAAAGATTTAATTTTTAAGATTAAGATTTCCGGAATGTTGCGTTTGTATTCGATTTTAAACATAATTGTTACATTATTCCCTACTACCCTAGGAGATGACGACATGAATCTCCAGGATAAGATTGGAGACTACCACCTGGAGGAGAAGGAGGTGTATATCCGTCTATCTGAGTCTAAACCTATCATTGAATCTTATTTCTCCATTGACTCATCAACCCCTGGGATCAATTCTTTCTCCTGCAAACTCTGCTTATTTGCAAGGTAAAGTTTTGATATACTAATCAACATTTTTAAATAGGTAAAACTGTCATGCATATCATTGTATAGTGTTCATTAAGATTATGTTAAAATGATTCCTCATAGAGTTTTTTTCGTAAAGTTCAATTCCAAACACATGTTTACGAAACTCTAAAGCTCTAAATCAATTATTTGAAGATTTTCACACCAGTTTATTATTTTGAGATAAGTCCAAAACCGAAAAAAATCTAAAATTTCTCATTCAAATACCTTTTCAAATTAAATTGATAACATTGATGACATTGATGAAATCCTTTTCTCAAATTTTCTGTAGAAATAAATCTCTAGAATTATAACTGGTTTTGTCAAATCTGTTTAATTTTGTGAAAAATATCTGTTTAAATCATCTTAAAATGTAAGATGATTATATTTCGTTTATTTTCAGAAAATGTAAACAGTGAATATTTTAATATCATATTAATTTGTAGGGATAATTATTCCTTGGTCTTCAACCATTGTCTTAGGAAAGAGCATTCTACTCTTAAAAGCTAAAGAAAAGGAACTTAGTTCTTGACAAAAACTCAAATTTTTGTAACCCAATGTCGTGGATCTTATATATTTCAAACTATTAATTCTGTTTAAAAGTTTAAAATTTCAGAGGTTTACACAATCAGGTTGCAAAGATATAGGAATTAGAAAATTTAAGTTTGTGGCCAGAACTCAGTTCCTTTGTTAAAGCTTTTCAAAAAACTGACACTATTCAATATAATTTTTGTTAGGTGACAAAAGTAATTAAATTCCAAGAAGATATTGATAACTACGATAATTGAAATGTACAATCACCTAATGATTTTAAAAAAAAACATTTTAATAATGAAAAAAGGAATGTTTTGATAAACAGGAAACATTTAAAGATTGCACTTTATCAATGTGAATCGAAGAAATGCAGTGCTCAGTTTAAATTTTTGGAGGATTTGCGTAAACATTACACTTCTTCGCACAATCAGAAGTTTAAATGTGAGGAAGGAGAAGAAACAATGGAAGACGACCTTGAAACAGACTTTCCTAATCTGGAGGATATTTCTGGGATTCCAATAGACCAACTTCACGGGAAGAAGATCTCCCATGTTCAAGCCAAAAGTCTTCGTGGCCAGTTCATCATCCAAAATCAGCGGACTAAGGTGTTTGAATGCGAACTCTGTGATTATAAAAGGTAAAAGAAACTTCATGTTTAACATAGCATTTTGAAATTTTTATGCAATAGCCAACTGTACATACATGTTTTTAGAGTATGGAAAAAATTATTATAAAGATTGATTGGAAATTGATTTCCCATTTACAACTTAAGTATATGCGGTTTCAATATCATGCATAATTCATGTTCTATGCAAGCTTTTATGTTTTCATGTAATGTTTCATAATTTCATGCAAGGTTTCATGTTTTTATGAAAGTTGTCATGTTTTCATGCAAAGCTTTATGTTTTCATGCAAAGTTTGATGTTTTAATGCAAAGTTTCATGTTTTCATGCAATGTTTCATATTTGTATGCAATTTTTCATGTTTTCATGCAGGGTTTCATGTTTTCATGCAAGGTTTCATATTTTTATGCAAGGTTTTATGTCTTTATGCAATTTTTCATGTTTTTATACAATGTTTCATGTTTTTATGCAAGTTTTCATGTTTTTATTGAATTTTGCATGTTTTCATGCAGGGTTTTATGTTTTAATGCAATTTTTCAGGTTTTATGTAAGGTAGCATGTTTTCATGATTTTATTGCAAAGTTTCATATTTTCATGCAAGGTTTAATGGTTTTAAGCAAGTTTTTAATTTAAAATGAAATTTACTTCATTTTGATCTCTGAAGTGATAATTAATGTTCATATTTGTTTTGTTAAGTGAATGGAAGGTAACCCTGCAGAGTCACGTGATGATAAAACACTACGATGTTTATATTTATCGATGCAAGGAATGCAAACAGCTGATGCGATCTTGGAACCAGTTCCTTGTACATAAACGAACTCACAAGTAAGAAAATGTTAAAGGGATTGTTCACACATTTTTGAAAAGGCAGATAATATCCCAATTTTATGAGTTAGTAACACAGATCTATGCCAATCTTGCTAATTAAAGATTCTGAGGGCAAGAATATTCAAAAATTTCAGAAAACAAATTATCTTTTGACCATAATCAAAATCCCCTCTCCCCTCTTATGACTCTGGGTAGGACACTGTCTCCATAACCCCCCCTCCCCCTGTATGCGCCCTTGAACTTTGAACTAAAACAGAAATATGCAGGGGCGGATACAGGATGTAAGTGAGGGGGGGGAAGATTTTTTAGGAACAAAAAAATGATAAATANGAAAATTTTTTTTGACTTAAAAGACTCAAAAAGAGTCAAATTAATGACTAAAGACTAAAAACCTAGATTTTTAACTTTTCACACATCATAGTTTATTAAGACAAATATTTTTCCTGTTTTGCACTAGGGTTTCTTTCTCTTAAGCATGCTATTGAGAAGCTATTCTGAAAATAGGAACAAAAAATTCCAAATTCAGGGGGGCGAATGTCCCCCAAACCCCCACCCTGTATCCGCCCCTGGAAATATGTCATTTCCGCCTTACTGTAAAAATTCAATTAATCCCGTTAAAATGTTGTTTCTAGGTGCACGTGCCCCCCCCCCCCCTACAGGTATCCTAGGGGGGGGCACGCGCATGTATGATCTGATTTTATATGATGTGGGGAAAAAATTAAAAAGAAGATGCTATAAGGCATCTTTATTCACCCTTTTTTAATATTTTTTAAACAAAAATTCAGCAAGTTTGGAGTTTTTAGCAAAATCTCATTTTCTTCACAACTATGATATATAAACCAAAGATATACGGTCCTTAAAGAAAAATCTAATCAGCAATTCTGTCAAATTAGGGGTTTTTAGGGGGGGGGGGAAGAGGTTTCTTATTTATTTATATTAGATGTTTTTTATTTCTTTATATTATAGAGTATTAATTCTTAACGATGGGACCGTGGACAGAAATCACAAATTTAATGAAATGCAGGGGAAGGGGGCTAGGTCATACTGCCCCATTGAAAACGTCACATGATTGACGTTTGTAGTCGGCACATATTAGGGAAAAATGTTAATTTTCTTTCAAAACATAATGTTGTCAAAATAATGAAAAATTATTTGGACCGATTTCCGAACCTCGTTTTTTTTTCTTTTTACACAATTAGTCACTATACTCAAGAGTTGCAGCTTCGGCAACCACTTTAACACTATTAACACCTTTATATTATTATTAATTCTCATCAAACATTAACCATAAAGTTTATTTTTAGGCCGAAGAATGACTCAAAGACCAACTCTGAAGTTAAAAGCGAATATCATACTTTAACGGAACCAATCTTTTTGGGAGAGGAGGCGGGTAAAAAAGCTGCGGAGCAATATGTTTTCTACGATAAAAAGGTTTGTTACCTTCACAATTTTTTGTGTGTATTTTATTTGTGACTGAAGAAAATTTAAACTGTCCGATTTCCGAACCTAAAAACGGTTGAGAAGGACAGTAATTTTCCCGCCAAAAACCAGCTGATTGTTCGGTTTCTTAAAACACGAACCGGTTTTGTGAAATTCAAATGTCTTACAGTGCTGACTGGCTACTGCTGAGTGCTGAGTGCTGAGTGCTGAGTGCTTCGACACTCGACAGTGCAGTGCAATTTCAGTTTTGAGTAATTTATTTCCTGGCTTGTGCAGTGAATGGCTAATTGACTGGCCAATAGTAATTTTAAGTATTCAATTTACGCTTTTATCTATGTCTACGTTGCTAAAGTAATAAAATCATAAAAACAATTGTGATTATTATTATTTATCAAGGAGAAATGTCAAAGATGTAAAATGTGTCCTTATTCCAGCAAGAAAACTCAGCTAGTGGCAATGCATGCCCTGGCCAAACATCTTCCAGCAATTCACCTTTACAGGTTATATTTGTTTTTATATTTAGATTTTTCAACAATGAAATTACTTGTAAACAAAGTTAAAGATTTAGACTTTTTTATCGCTTTTCACTCTACTGCTGTATTATAGAACATTATTTTTAAGTTTATTGGGTCCGTCCTAGTATACGATTTTTGGACCCTCCTATCAATTTTGTACATTACCACTCTTTTTCAGCAAATTTTATTTTTATTTTTATTATTTCAGGGTTAGGTTAGGATAAGACGCTTTCTGGGCCGAGCGCTGCGACCAGGATGGGCCTTCATTTTTAACAATTTTCAACAATATTAGTGTATATTTAGAGTTAAGGGTTAGGTTAGGTTAGACACGTTCTCGGCCGAGCGCTGCGGCTAGGACAGGCTAGGGGGCCGAGTGCTGCGGCCAGGACGGGCCTTCAATTACAAGTTTCAACAAAATTAGTATATATTTAGGGCGAGGCTAGGTTAAGACACTTTCTGGGTCGAGCGCTACGGCTAGGACAGGCTAGGGGCAGAGCGCTGCGGCTAGGACAGGCGCCTTGGTAATTTCCTAGTATAGGATTTTTGGACCCCTGCCCCCTAAAAATTGATAAGAGGGGAGGGTCCAAAATTCTTATAATAGAAATGAACCAATTATAAATATTTAGATGCGAGTACTGTCAGAAAGAGTTCAGATACAGCAGAAGTCGATATAGGTAGGAATTTAAACTTTACGCTATTTTCGGCTAAATTTTCGCTTTTAGAAACCTGACACTTGCTTCAAACTCTAATTTGTTGATCATATCTTTTCAATCAGAAATAGAGATCTTTTATATTTCATATTATGAATTCTGTTAGATAAAAGAGTCAATGTTTTAATTATCATAAAATCACCTTGGGGGGGGGGGGGGTTT